ACAACAAAAATGCATGAATACACTGAAACCATTAGCCATTCAACCAATGATTAAGGTTTGGGAAGGAAAATGTTCATGTTTATTGAACAGCAAAACCCTAGGCTAAAGAAAGTTACTACACTAAGCACAGGAATTAACTCTGCTTCTTGGCCCTCAAGTCTACAAAAAAAAACCTCTCACTTTTCCCTGCATAAAAAAACAAAGCTTATCAATTCATTAGGTGGGCTGAGAGGAGCTTATCACTTGGGCCTTTACATATAGAGGCATTAGAAAACTGAGCAATATCTTCAATAGCAGTTTTGTAGAAACTTGTCTGTTTCTTCTATCAACCTTTCCTTCATATAGAAACCAAGCCCACGATAAAGTCATAGTTGGAAAAAACAATCTGTGGAAAGCCAGATTTATATTAATATAATCCAGATATACAGTGTCATGGGGACCTAACCCAATATTAGAGAATTTTAAGAATTTATGGGTAATGTTTCTTAAGCCAGTGCTTCTCAAACTAATGGGTACAGGTATACTACCTGGTGAACTTGTTAATATTCAGTTTCTGATCGAGTAGATCTGAGCTGGTGCCTGGGAATTTGTATTTGTATAGGCTCCTAGGTGATGGGTTTGCTGCTGGTCCATGGACAGCACTTTGAGGAGCAGATACCTCTCACATATCAGATGTCTCAAGTGGACTTTTGACACAGATTTGAGGACAGAAAGACTGGGGTTCCTATCATGTACCTTAGATGCAGCCATCTTTGTTATTTTGGTTGAGAGGATCTAGTTTATTAGGTAACAAAGCTGATGTGTTTATGTGAAGGGTAGAAGAGTGACAAAAGAAAGGGTTGGCTTTATATTTGTGCCTATTCTAGTTAGGGTTTTTGTTGTTGTTGCTTGTTTGTCTGTGTTGAAAGGAACTGAGACTTTTTCAAATGACTAAAGTTAAAGGAAGGGACAGGAGGATGGGGGTGGGTATTGTATGGAAACTTGGCAGGAAGTCCTTGAATTGTTAGGAACTAAGGGAGCTGTAAGGATCAGCTAGCTTTCTCTAACTTTCTTTCTCCGTATCATTGCCTGTGTGTTCCAGTCTCCTTTCACTCTCACTTTTGGGTGGTTTATCCTGTCTTTCTCCCTCACAGCTCCTGCTTACTCCTGGTTAACCTAATTTTGTACATGGGCCCCTTATGACCAACTCCCAGTTCTACCTCCTGACCTGTCTTCAGCATCAGCCATGATTGCTGACAACTTTAGTTTTTTGAACGTGCATTTTAAATTGTTGAGAAATGGAATTTGATTGACACAGTATGCCTTGGGACACTGGCACTCTAGGACTTGAAAGCTATTATCTATGGATTCAATCAGTGCTGATGGAGGAGGGACAGGAGGTAGCTGATGCCTAGAAAAAGAAATATAGCTAGCAATGACTGCCACTTCACAGGGGCTGTGGGCAGGACACTTACCTTGGGAAGGAGTCTGTAGTCAGACAATCATTCTGTGGCTTGGTTCCTTTTCTTAATTTCCTTAATGAAGGTCATCTTTCCTCTGCATAGAGGTGGTTCCGTCATAGCATGGCTTTTAGGCAGGGCCAAGAAATATAGCAGGTACTTTATTGCTCTCTTGTCTCTTAATACATATACCAGCCCAGTAGGAATATTTCTGAGGGTCAGTGAAGGCAATCAGTTAAACTAACAAAACTATAAGCTACCACAGATTTGCTTTGTAATTTTGAGATATCTTTATTTTAATTCAATATAAAAATGAAGCATCTAATCCATTCAAAATATCAACACATGCATGGACCTTAGGTGCTACAAATACAGGAGAGGGAACTTGGGTTTGTTTGGGTAAAGTCCTTATGGACGGGGAGTCCCTCTTTGCCACCCCTAATTTTTTTGTTCCCCCACTAGAAGTGCCACTCCCTCATTCCCAGGATCTCAGAAGGTTTCAAAATCACAGAGGCCATCTTGTTGGAGGTAGTGTGTGTGCTCAGGCGTGTGCTTCTGTGTGCTAGGAGCAGGGAACAGAGGGATGTTTGAGAAAGCAGACAAATGAGAGAACAAACTTAAGCCCCTACCACAGAGTCTCAACTCCTTTCTTCTTTCAGTACTGTTTGTTTAGGGAAGAAAATACTCTTCCTCAGTGTTCCCCCCACAGAGACTTTTAATGAGAACTGTTTTCAGTTTTTATTTGCTGATCAATAAACTCAAGGGTAGGTCTTGTCTGTTCCCGGAGATAAAGAACTGCATGCATAACTGGTCTCTATCCAGCCAAACAAGCGCCAGTTTCTCTTTGTTTTTCATAGTGTTTCTGAGAGATAAGAGAAAACCACCCAGACATGATGCATGACCGGGGGAGGTTTTTGAAACAATATTTTATAAACTCATTCTCTATTCTGAGCTGTGGATTATGGATGGAAAGGAAGGGGGAGGACACTACATACAGCATAAGTGGACCTTTTTTTCTGAGTTAAAAACAAGCAGGCAAAGACACACACACACACACACACACACACACACACACACACAAATATATGAATAAATGTTCAACCGAGGAAAGAATATGCCAATTTTCAGTTATAGGCAGGAAAATCCAATAGGAAGAATTTTAGTAATTCAAGTGAGTATATCTCTGAAAATTCAGTGACTGTTTCCTACCACAAAAACTACCTGTCATATGGATTCAAAATCAATATTGGGCAGACAGGACCTAAGTAGAGTTGAAGAGTAAGTTATATTCCCAGAAGAATATGGGATAGAATCAGAGTAGAGTCCTAGTGAGTGCATGCCCTTCAAGGCTCTTAGCAGGTTTCTGGGAGACATCCAGGATGGAGGGTTTGATTTGAAGAGAATGATGCAAGATTTTAAATAAAGACTTGGGTGGGGCAAAGGCAATATATGTAACCTAAATATTTGTGCCCCTTTAATATGCTGAAACAAAAAAAAATTAAAACAAAAGACTAAATGTAAGATCAGTTGGTCCTGACCAATAAAGGCATAGAGAGTACATGTTTTCAATAGCAAATGAAAATTATGGTAGCAATTTGAATGGGTACAGGGTAGGAAATCATTTAGGAGAAATTTGCTAGTAAGCCAAGGAACAACCTGAAGCTGATATGACAGGACAGGGGGGATGCACAGGAAGGTAGAGTCGTCAGAAATGGTAGGCAGAAAGGAGGAGTAAACTCAAGAGACAAAAACAGCAGCTAATAAAAGGGAAATTTAAGTTGAAAGCCATGACATATTTTTTTAAAAAACCGAGGAGAAGGTAAAGTCTTAGTAAAGCTGAGTAGTGTTTCATTGTCCATGTTACATACTCTACATTACTGGGTTTTTTTCCAGCTCTAGGTTCATGAACTTTAATTGCTTTATTGTAGACTTTTGTCTCATTTCCAGCACTGGATAGTAAGTTCCCTGTAGGGGAAAGAATCTGTCCTGTGCTTTCTAGAATTTCCCCATAATACCTAGTTTGGGACCTTACTGGAATAGCAGTCCAAGAAATATTAACTGGCAGAATTAATTAATGAACAGTTTCCTTTTTAAGTAATTATTTTTCCAAATGAAATTATAGATTTGAAGTAACCAAAATATGGATTATATTTTACTCTTCTAATGTTGGGTGAATCAGAGAAATGAGTTATGACATAAATCATTTGAGCCTTATTTCAAAAGGAATTGGTGGGTCTAATGCTAGATATCAGGTAGGGAAAATAGATGTGTGAGTTTTAGGCAAAAGGACAAAATCCAATGGACTTTTCATTTCTTTGTTCCAGATTCTTTCAATCAGGCTAAACTTTAGATGATTTATTAATCTGACCAGTATTTTCCTGTGCAGATCTGTCTTTTGGGAAGGTTGGCTTCATTGGAGCAAGAGGTCTTATCTATCTTGTTCATTGTCATATCTCTGGCATCTAGAACAGGCTTAAATAATCGTGGAAGGAAGGGAAAGAGGGAGGGAGAGAGGGAATCAAGGAAAATGGGAAGGGGGAGGGAGGGCTGTGCTTTTCATATCAGTTAACTTGGCACTTATTTACTAACTCATCAGTTACCAAGGGCCCCCCTCAGGTTCTGTGTTAGGCACCAAGGATACCAAAATTATGAATTGCCACAGTGTTTTCTCTCAAAGAACTGGTAGTCGAGAGAGAGAGAGAGAGAGAGAGAGAGAGAGAGAGAGAGAGAGAGAGAGAGAGAGAGAGAGAGACCTAACACAGCAGGGGATAAGTGCTGCACAAGAGAGCAACAGTCCCGGTGATACTGGGAGGGTGCCAAAGGAAGCATCTAATCTGCGTGGGGAAGGGTAGGGTACAGAACACATTGCAAACCTGAGCAGAATATCAATAAACTCAATGCTGCTTTAAAGGCTTGAGAACATTTTAATCTTCAAAGTCCTAAAACTGATTGTGGATAGACTGAATAAAATATAGAAGAATGCAAGTTATTGCATTTAGCCATTCTCTATTCAGAGTCATTTTGATGTTAGAAGTTATTTTGTCCTGGCATTATTGAACTTTGGTTTCATTCAGGGAAGGCAAATGGCTACAGTGAGTCTGTCATGCAGCAGCTTGTCATAGAATCATGTCCTTATAAGCATAGTCTAAATGACACAAACTGGAGGCCTGTTGTCTGGGCCAGACCTGCACGGTACACCAGGAGTGACAGCTTTGTTAAGCATGATTGGTTAGAACCACTGTTTGCTCTTTTCGTGGTAAATTCTTGTTCCTGTGATGAAGATTAATGATATAACAGTCATAAGGTGGTCTTTGCATTTTATAACAGCCTATAGCTGTAAAGGTGTGTGTTTTCCATCAGTACAGAAAATTTTCGGGTAGATAAACTTAACAACAAAGGGAGAGTCAGTGATCAAAAAAAATATGGTTGTCTAAGCTTATTTACATATAGAAAAGGATTCTGGGGATATACTGATGGGACTTTTTAAGCAAGAAGATTCAGTGTTTGAGGGGGAAAGAAAAGATCCTGCTTTGACTTCTGCTTCTTGATTTCCTTGCTCAGGTGCTGACCCCAGCACAGATCAAATCAATTTGCCAGGCAATTCTGGACTCTGGGAAGCAGTATGCCATAAAAAAGAGGAAACCATTCCCCTTGATGTATTCTTACTATGGAACAGAATACTTGGGTAAGTGAAAGTATTGGCACAGGCCTGCAGGATGGAGGGAGTCTGTTATACTGACATTGAGTGAAGACTGGAAGATTTCATTTGTGCCATAGGGTGTCATTATTCATTTAATAAGAAATACTTTAAAATTTGTTTTAAAACAGATATTGTTAGATATTATAAATCACAATTTAATAATTGTTTGCATGGCCGACCTGACAAAAATGTAGCTATTTTAACAATTGCTGCTTTCACTAAAGACTAAAATCTTTATTCTAAAGTATAAGCTCACCAGACTAATTTTACTAAAAGATTATGCACAATTTTTACATTCATTGATTGCAAGTAGTGCCTCTGTACAGGGAAGCAGGATTTAGCCACTAACATTTTAAAGTTTTTAATGGTAGTAGATTAATAACAGACTGTTGAATTGCAATGGCTAATTTTGAGCTCTGAGCCACGTAAAAAGTAAATTAGTTACTTTTGACTCCTGCAGCAGCTCACCATCAATCCTAAGCAAGATTTGTAAGGCTCTTTGTATAATAGATCACCTGCCTCACCAGACTCAAGCTTTATCTTTCCCCTACAGGTTCTGTCCAGTACAGTCTCCCACGTGCGAAGCATTCTCATATTTTTATACCTCTGTGCATGTTCCTTTTGCCTAGAATGCCCACTTCCCCCAACTCCTTCATCCACCTGTAATAATTATACCCAGACTTTAAGACTCTGCTCAAACATAATCAGATCTGCTGAAAAAATTGCTGTGATTTTGGAAAAAGGATTGTTGAACCCTCTCTTGAGAAATATTCACATTTCCCCATGAAGCAAAATTGGGTAATGTCATATCACCCTGTCCCCACTTCTATTGGAGCCCTTATCACAGCACTCTGTAATCGGTGGATTATGTGTCTAACCACCTGAGTGGGCTTTGTGCACCTTCAGGATGGCGACTTTCATTTATCTTCGTGATCCCTAGGCCTTTCCCAAAGAGCCTGCAAGTAGAGAGGGAACTCAAACGAATGAACGAATGGCTCACAAGCGACTTTGATGAGAGTTTCTCAAAGAACCTTTAAGTTCCTAAGTTCCCTAAAATCAGGCCCTTAGACAAGCATTTGGGTGTAAAAGTTTTATTTGAAAGGAAATCCCAGATAGTGTTGCTAGAGGAGTGAGGAAATGAGATAAGGAAGAAAAAGGAGCTAACTGAGTATGTAACAATCAGCAACTATGGACAACTGAGGCTCAGTTCAGCTGGGGAATCTTAGAGACTATATAGAACACATCTCAAAATCATCTCACCTAAGGGGTGAAGAAAACTGAGGTATTCATTCTCTAACTCCCTGCTTTATTGGTTGCTGCTCCAAGACGTGTTAATTCCCTAGCAATTTGGCCCTGCCCCTATAGGCCAGGCACACCTCCATGGCCAAAGAAGAATGATAGGTACTTGAGGTAGGAAGTGAGCAGCGTAGGTGCACCTGAAGGGTGAATGGGGATGATGTGATGAGCAGGGCACTGACAGTGTCTGCTATAGTCCCCTAATAGAGTTATTCAGTTCATTTTTCAGGTTTTGTTAGAGAAATTAGCATTCCAGTCATTTATACATATATAGCACAAATCAGATTTCTATCTAATACATAAACATTTTCCTGAGAAGCATGTTTTTTTTTTTCCTAACAATTTCAAATCCAGTGAAAGAAAGGTATACTTTCAAATTTCATGACCAACTTTTTAGAACAATAGAATTTTTGACTGGATACAACAGTAAGACTCTTTCTGGGCAGTAAAGAGTTCCAAGTATGGTGAAGTGAAAAGTGTCTGCAAAAAGAAAGATTTAAAATTATGGAGTTGAATTTGAAGAACAAGCCCCAGTTCGACCTGCTAAGTAGGATTCTACTAATTGGGAATGAGACGAAACTCCTAGAGGGACTGGGCTGACTTTTACCTTTGTTAAGCTAACTCCATTTCTGAAGGCAGGCTCTGGCCTTTGCTAGTTCAGTATTCTCTGCTAAACTCTTAGGAATTCTTCAAGATTTTGCTCAGATGAGATTATCTATGTGAAACCTTTAGGCCCCCTCTACCCTAGGGTCAAGTTAAGCTCTCCTTTCTCAGTTTTCTTTGATCTCTTTGTATTAGTCAGGGTTCTCCACAGAAATGGAATATAATAAATAAATGTATTTATTAATATTATAAGGAATTAGCTCACACAATTATGGAGGCTGAGAAAGGCAGATCCAGGAAAGCCAATGGTTTAAGTTCCAGTTTGAGTATGAATCCAAAGGCAGGAAAAGACCAATGTCCCAGCTGAAAGACAGGCAGAGAGAAATAATTCTTTCTTACTTAGCCTTTTTGTTCTATTCCGGCCTTCGATGAATCAAGTGAGGCTCCACCCCCTACATTGGAGAGGGCAATCTGCTTTACTCAGTCCACAGATTCAAATGTTATTTTTGTCTAGAAACACCATCACAAACATACCCAGAAGTAATATTTAACCAAATATATGGACACCCCATGGCCCAGTCAAGTTGACACAAAATTAACCGAGTCATTTTATGAAAAAGACACCTGCACACCCATATGTTTATCACAGCACAATTCACAATTGCAAAGATATGGAACCAAGCTAAGTGTCCACCACCACCTGATGAATGCATAAAGAAAATGTGCTGTGTATATAATGCTGTGGAATACTACTCAGCCATTAAAAATAATGAAATAATGTCTTTTACAGCAACTTGAATGGAACTGAAGGCCATTATTCTAAGTGAAGTAACTCAGTAACATAAAAAGAAATACCACATGTTCTCACTTGTAAATAAGAGCTAAGCAATGGACATGCATGGTCATATAGAGTAACTTAATGGACATTGGAGACTCAGAAGGGGAGAATTGGAAGGAGGTACAGGATGAAAAATTACCTGTTGGGTACAATGTGTACTATTCAAATGATGGGTATGTTAAAAGCCTAGATTTCTCCACTATGCAATTCAACCATGTTAAAAAAATACTCATACCCCCAAATCTATTTAATAAAAAATAAATTATAAATGAATTTTTAGGATACCTATACCAAATTATTTTTAAGTACTTTAGAAGCATTTTCATAAAGGCTCTTGTTATGTTAATTACAAAGTGTTTTGAAAATTTCTTTTCTAAAGCAAAAATGGATCAACAAACTTTTTCTGTAGAAGGTTAGACAATAAGTATTTTGGGCTTTGTGGGCCACATGGTCTCTGTCACAAATACAGAGTTTGCTGTTTTAGCAGGAAAGCAGCTATTCAATATGCAAATGAATGAGCTTGACAGTGTTCCAATAAAACTTTATTTGCAAAAAAATAAAAGCAGCAATGTAGATTTGGCCTGCAGACTATACTTTGTGAGAAGGCTAGTTCTTAGGCAACTCAATTATTACATTACTATATGTACTTTTAAGTAATATTGCCTTTTTTTTATCCTGTAATTATTTTTTTACTAAATCAAACTGGCTCTGCTCCCAATTGTGTGAATTAATTATGCTTTGTTTGTCAATATAGGGGCAGCTCATGGCCTGTCGTCCATTCTTCAGATGCTTCTTTCTTACCATGAGCACCTCAAGCCGTCAGATCGGGAGCTGGTGTGGCAGAGTGTGGACTTCCTCATGGAACAGGAACAGAATTGCAACTGGCCGCCTGAGCTTGGCGAGACCATCGAGAGAGAGAATGAACTGGTCCACTGGTGCCATGGCGCTCCAGGTCTCATACACTCTGTTATCTGAAAACATTGCCTTTCATCTAGCTTAGCTACAGGGCGATTTCTTTTCTGAGAAGTGAGGGTATTTCTCATTTTATGTCATTACTATATGAGGTAAAAGGGTGAAGATGAAATTTTTAAAAGCCAAAAAGTCTTGATCTATAAAGGACTTCTGTAAATGATCCTGTATTTAAATATATGATTGATATCTATTTGTATATAAAGTTAAACTAACACTGTTCAAATAGAAACATAAGCCACATATGTAAGTTAAATTTTTAGTAGCTCCATTAAAAAGTAAAATCAGGTAAAATTAATTTTAATAACATATATTATGTAACTAAATGTACCCCAAATATTATTTTAATGTGCAACCAATTTAAAAATTGAGATATTTCACATTTTTAAAAAATATGGAGTCTTTGAAATCCAGTGTATATTTTACACTTATATCATATGTCAGTTGAAACTAGCCACATTTCAAGTGCTCCATAACTACATTTGAGAGTACAGATCTGGAGCCTGGCAATTCAAATGTGGCCCCTAAACTGGTAGCATGAGCAACTAGGTGCTTGGTAGAAATCCTGAATCTTGGGCTTCACCCCAGGCCTGCTGAATCAAAATCTACATATTAAAAATATCCTTTCGTGACTTATATGCACCTTAAAGTTTGAAATACACTATTCTATAATTTGTCTTCTTCAAATGGAAATTTCCATTAGTAGCAAATAAAAAAGTCTACAGAAATGAGAAGCCATCCTTAGTGAAGTCTCTGGAATTGAGCCTAGAAATTTACCAGATCCCTTCTTTTTCCTCCTTTTTAAAAATCCCATTATACTGCTAATTAGGCCTTTGGAGAAGGGGTAATTTGAAAGTAGTTAAATTTAAATAAATCAATTAATATTGGTTAATTGGCCATGGGAGAGACTTAAAATACCAAAATAACACAACATTTTTAGATTATGAGTGGATTTAATTTTCAAGGCTAAGCTTCAATCCCATAAGCATGGCTTTAAAATATATTTGATTTCTCTTGCTTACCTGGGTTTTATTCCCTCCTTTCTCCCCTTAGTTAATGTTCTTTAATCCAACTGCAATTTTATTTTTTCCTTGATATAGTTTGAACTGATGTAAGTCATAGTCCAATGGCCATATTTTCTCTGCCTATTACATTTATCTATGGAAGGAACTTCAAAGTGTGTGCTTGTACCAGTAACAGGGCATTATACATTATGTCCTGGCTAACTCCTGCCCATTATGATTTGAAACCATTTCTTTTTTCTTTGACCTTTTTGAAAAAAAGCCACAACACTTATTTACCATCCTGGAAAGGAGATATATATATATATATATATGTTGTTGTTATGCTCAATTCTTCTATTGCCCATTCCCTCTAATCACTATCAGTTGTGGTCTCTGGATATCCTCCAAGCATCCCAGCCAGTATCCTTGAATTTTGGAGATGTCCCAGTTTAAATACAGAATATTTTTAAAAGACTCAATGTGCTAGTGAAAGCTCTGAAAAGAGTGGGAAGATAATCTACTAAAATGAGAGACTGGGTCAGTTAATTGATGTGGGTGTCTCAAAGGGCAGTTATTCTATTCTTTCTGTACACCAAATACCATCTGTCTTTGTTAGTCATGTACCAAAACAGTGCAACATAGGATTCATCACTGTGGGGACTTTGCTTATCCTCCTTTATCACTCATGTTCAGTGTCTGGAGAAGATTAAACATAGGTTCCAAAGCAAAATCATTCAATCCATGTATTCACTGGGCTACTAAAAATAAACCAATTCACAAATGAATAAAAAACTAAATGTGGCACATTATTTCTGCCAACCCCACCCCCACCTCAAGGGTATTAGTCTTCTTTTTAAGAGATAACCAGCAGTGAGCATGATTATATGTCTGATAAGTGCAGGCCAAAGACTATCAAGATCTCGCAGAAGTTGGCAACAGTAAACTCTCAAAAAATTCTAAAACAGGAGATGAACTAGAAAAATAATTTTATTTTTTTAAGGAAAAAAAATTTTAAGAGTAGATTTAAGAATAGTGCAGGTGGTTTGGGGCAGAAGACCAATTCTGTGATTAAAAACCTGCCAGAGCTAATCCATAATGTGGAACTTCATTAATGATACCTTATCTCTCCCTATAATTGTTTCCTATTGACTTTCCTTCAACCCACCTCTATGAGTGACGACCCTAGTGTCATTTATGCAATTTAGAAATAGTTCTTGACTTTAATAATTCCAGGTTCTAATTGGATCTCCAACACTAACCAGCTAAGCGACCTTGAAAAGGGGTCACTTTGTTTCTTTTGTGCCTTTTTCTCTTTATGTGTGACATGAGCATGTTGAGATTGAGTAGTGGAACTCAATCTTTTTTTCACCACAGACCCCTTTTATACTATGGACTCTTGACATCCTGAGGGATGTGTCCTAAAAGCTTTGCAAATACCCACAATTATCAATACCTAGTGTGGCATATAGCTTTTTCTCAATAAATGCAATAAAGTATTTCAGGAAAATTTATATGACCCCTTCATAACCTTGGTGATTCTGAAATACAGGACCAAAGTCATTTGCAAAATCATTAAAACAAATGCTGTGGCTAAAATAAACTCTGAACTGCATTGGGTTACATCATTGCTGTGGTAGCACTGACAGTGCATTTCCTTTACTTTGCGTGAAACACAGGTGTGGGTATTTTTTTTTTTAAACTCATTTCAAAAAGTCTCTTGTGTAGGTGACTTTGAATAAAGAAGAACAAGGCTTTTGCAGTGCAGGTGACATCGGTCACTAAGCTTTGTAGTTCACAGCATACAATGTGTGCCTTGGAGAAATTACACAACCCAGAATGGACCTGGGTCATGATTCTCCAGTATGTTGAAACTGCATGTGCCAAGTCTAGCTGACACAAGGCTCTACTGGATCACATGTTTTCAAAGATTTAGTCTCTTAAAACTTATTTATTAAGTAATAATTCATTCCTTTTCCCAGTTGTATTTTTCAAAAACACATATCTTTGCTAACTCATGTTTCTTATCAATGCACAATAATTAATGTTCCCATGATGAAATGATATGGTTCCCATCAAAAGCAAAGCAGCCCAACATTCCTTCCTTTTAGATTAAGCAGTCTTATTATGGATTCCATTAGTTTGAGTTAGGAGCCAACAGATTTAGAAGTTTTTCAAGGTCCCTTCCATGTACCATTCTGTGATCCAGGCCGCAGGAAGAGACCCTTTCATACTGGCCAGAACCACAGGATCAATACCTATTAGGCTTTCTGGGGCTCATGGCCCTGGTATAGCAATTAGACCACCTCAGCCCTTCTTCCATCCAAATCTCTCATCTCCACTACAGCATTGGCTTGTGCTGGGGTGAGAAAGGAGACATTATAGACTCAACAGACATGTATGGACCCCTTGCCATATGCCACACACTATGCCATGGACTAGGGGAAAAAATGAACAAGATGCAGTTCCCACCCTTGAGTAGTTTGTACTGTACTAGGGGAGGCAGCCATGAAAATAGATCATTTTAATCTGATTCTGTATAAATGCTAAGATTTGTATAGGAAGTTATAGGAGCTCAGAGGAGGGATTCCTGGTGCTGCCTCCAGGTTCAGAAAAGGCTTCCTGAAGGAGGTGATGCCTTAGCCACATCAAGAAAAGTAGAAAGTTTGTTCCAAGAAGAGTGAACAAGATGAACAGTCAGAGGCATGGAAGCAGTGTGGATGGTTTGGTTTTACTGACGTGAAAAGCTACAAGCAGGGAATGGAGAAGAAGAGATGGGAGAAGAGAATAGAAGCTAGGTTTCAAAGGGCTTTCTGTATCATGCAAAGGCATCTGGGTAAGAGGGAGCCATTTAGCAGTTTAAGCAGGGGAGTGATATGCTCAGATTATGGTTCTGGAAAGATCATTCATTCTGTTACAGAATGAATTTAAGGCATGGAAGACCTGGGGGCAGAAGGCTAAAGCAATCATCCAGGAAGGACACCTAGAGCCTGAGGGAGGGCAGCGACACCGGGCCTTCCCAGAACATGTCCTTCTTTCACTTAGCTGGAATGGCTCCCTCTTCACCATGCTCTTTTCCTGGGGTCCAGAAGCAGAGCCTGCTCTCAGAAGAAACCTGTAAGGAAGTAGGGAAGGAGAATAGGGAAACAGAGAAAAGCCAAAGAGGACTATGTCTCTCCTGGAGACTAATTTCACCTTGATTCTGAGGGGAAGATAAGAGGCACAGATTTTATCAAAGAACTGGCTTTGTCTTGAGGCAAGGGAGCTGACTTTTTGAACCACTGTGTCAGTGAGTCATTGGCCAATATCTGCAGGGGAATGGCTGCATAGCATAGCCTCCCATTTGCCTAAGGGCAAATCTCCCCCCAAAACTGGGCAGCTGTGAGCTTTGTTAGCAGCCCACACTCACAGGAACTGGGAGATAAGGCATCTGTTGGTAAGGTAAGGGTGATCTGGGAAGGGCACCAACAACATCCAATACACCTGCCTAATTCTTTCTCAGAGTTCAGTAATCAAGTTAGATGGTGTCACTCCTTCTAGTAGGCCTTTTCTACCACCAGCTATGGTTTAGGGGCCTTCTTGTGTGCTTCCATGACATCTCTATTTCCCCAGATATGGTCTAATTAATACCTTCAGTTAAACTGTAAACACTATGAAAGTAGGGGCTTTTTAAAACCTTAGCACCTACTACTGTGCCTAGCATATAGTAGATGCTCAGTTAATATTTAAACAGTCACCAAGTCCTGTGAAATGTCTCTTTCATTAGCTTCATTTTCACCTTTCTGCCAGCATAATCAGCTCACAGCTACCCTGTTGCTCTTCTTCAGGTCTATCCTGACACCACTGTAGGATATTTCATCTATAATAAAAATCACATTTTCATATGAAAATAAAACCAATCCATAACAAAAACACTTCCATTGGTTCCATATTGCCTGCAGAATATGGTCCAGGCTGCCTAACTGGACTCATAAAACCATCCATAATTTGAGCCCATCTACATTCTACCCCACTGGCCTGTTCATTAGAACACTGCCCCACAGGCCTTCATATAGTCTGTCCTTCCTGGCTCCAAATTTTTGCCCTTTGCTGATCTTGATGGTAGAATGCCCTCCTTGACTCACTTTTGGTCTAGAGTTTCCTATGCATTCTACAAAGTCCTGAAAAAGTCCTACTTCCATCCCAAGCCTTGCCTGACTGTCTTCTGCAGGGAACTTTCACCTTTCCCATCCTGCCAGTATTATTGACAGTACCATTCACTTTATGTCTCAGCATGTGTCCTATTATGTATCAGTCATCTTAACATATTTTTATCTCCCTTTTTAGACAATGCCTTCCTGAAGGGCAGGAGTCATGCTTAGCATTTATTTTATATCACCCAGGGCCTGGACTGGCTACATAATTTGGGTGGGGGCTCAGCGCAAAATGAAAACGCAAGTCTTTTTTAAGAAAATTATTAAGAATTTCAAGATGGCAACAGTAGAGCATTAAACCCAGCATGGGACCCTTTTCAGGGCTGTAAGTTGTGAGCCTGCACAGGTGGCATGCCTATGAAGCTGGCCTTGCCTCGGGCTATGCATACAGTAGATAATCAATGACCACTTTCAAATGAATGAATGCAGAGAATGAATAAATGTATGATTAAATAAGTCGACTCTTTTAAAATCATCCTTTAGTTTGTGGAAGATACTTTGTTCCTAAAACCGAAGGGGAACAATGCTATAGGCAACCATTGTCGGTGGTTGACTGGAAAGCATTAGCTGAGCAAAGAGCCTGTTGCCATGTAAGTGTTAATTAACCACAGGGAATGTTAAAAAGGAGACATTTAAAAAGGGAATGAAATCATGACTCTCAGAGAAATATAAAATGAATATATGTCAACCATTTTATTTAGTTCATTAATTAATGAGGGGACCAGAAATGTGTTATGACTGGTTCAACAGGAAAACCAAAGAGCTGACATATTCATATAGGCCATTAGGAATATTGAAATGGATTTGCTTAATAGATGCAAAACTGGCTTCTTTCACAGAGGCAGAGGGAAGTCACTTCAACCTCTACTAGACAGAAAGTAAGTTTCTAGGAACAGGAATTATTTACATTACTATCAGGTTTCCATAAGGTAATTTCTATGTCTACAGAGTCATAAAATAGCCTAGTTAAGGCAATGAAAAGCAAAGGTAACCCTGATGGATGAGATAGTCAAGATACCTGTTATATTCCAGTCTTCCCCACCTTTTATACAGGAGAAAGGTAGGCTATGCAGGAGAAAATGTGATCTTGCGCTACTAACCTCTTCTATGAATATGAGCACTCAGAAATTAGAACTTGAGGAAAATCATTTCTATTAATAACAATTGCTTATCTTGTTTCTGTTCCTGCCTTTGTAATTGATACTACCTTTGTTGACAAGCTTTGAAGGAACATTTCTTTCCTTGGAAAAATTAAATTGGGAAGGACTCATTTCACAGCTGGACTAGAAGTCTTGGCAAGGTCGTTTGGGAGCATTGTTGTTGTTGGAAAGACTCCCAGTTTTGCTCTTAAGAAGATGTGTATAGTTATGAGTACTTAAACATTATAAATTCTGAGCCTCTGTGGGGGAATGGGCAAGCTGTTTAAATATTTAGCCATTTCAAATAGCCATCTATAGATAATGCTTACCAGAGTATGTATCATTCAATATTAACCCATTTGTAAATTAAATTATGGATTTTATCAATCTATGTACTTCAATCAAAATGTTGCTCTTTCTCCAGGGGCCAACCCCTTGATACAATTAAAACAACTTAAAATACCACAGCGAAAATAAGACTCCCTTGTAGAACATTCTATTGCCTTGTTACTCAAAAAGTGTGATCCCCAGAAGGGTACTTCTTAGAAATGCAGGATCTCAGGCCCCACCTTACCACCTCAGAGCTACCATATTAAAATCTGTATTTTACCAATGCTGGTGATTTGTGAGCTTCTTACAGTTTGAGAAGTTCTGCTCCATAGTGTTAACCTCTGGAAGTCACCTCTAATGTCTTTATTGTTTTTACAGGAATTGCCTATCTGTTTGCCAAAGCTTATCTAGTTTCCAAGAAACCGCAATACCTGGACACATGTATCCGGTGTGGGGAACTCACATGGCAGAAGGGCCTGTTAAAGAAGGGGCCAGGGATTTGCCATGGTGTAGCTGGTAGTGCCTACGTCTTCCTGCTGCTATACCGACTCACAGGAAACTCTAAATACATCTACCGAGCCCAAAGGTCAGCTGTTTTTCATGTATACTTTTAAAAATTTTAATCTAATTAATTTTCTGAATAGGTAATGTGATCACATGGTTTAAAAAGTGCAAAAAGGAATACATCAACTGTGTCCTATAGCCATGTAGTTGACTTCCCTAGAGACAGTTTCTGGGTTGTCTTCCTAAAGATATCCTGTATACATACAAGCATATAGGTATGTGTGTCTTAGTCCATTTGTGTTGCTATAAAGGAATATCTGAGGCTGGGTAATTTATAAATAAAAGAAGTTTATTTGGCTCATGGTTCTGCAGGCTGTACAAGAAGCATGGTGCCAACCTCAGCTTCTGATGAGAGCCTCAAGAAGCTTTCGCTCATAGCAGAAGGTGAAGAGGAGCCGACATGTGCAGAGGTCACATGGCGAGAGGGGAGGCAAGAAAGACAGGGGAGGTGCCAGGCTCTTTTTAACAACCAGCTCTCACAAGAACTAATAGAGCAAGACACTCACACCCCCCCCCGGCAATGAAATGCCCCCATGACCCAAATAACTCCCACTAGACCCCACTTACAGACATTGGGGATCAAATGTCAACATGAGGTTAAGAGGATCAAATATCAAAACTATAACAGTACATATATAAAATTTTGTGCCTCTTTTTTTATACAAATGGTAGCACCTTGCTATCTTAGTGATCACCCTACATCAGTACACAAAGAGCTTCTTCAACCATTTTTATTATTGAATAGCATTACGTTGTATGACTGAACCATAATTTGACCAGTCCCATATTAGAAATATATTTAGATTATTTCCAATATTTTACACTACAAATAATGTTATGATGAATAACCTTGTACATATACCATTTTGTACATGTATGGGTATATCTGAAAGGTAAATTCATAGAAGTAGAATTGCTGTATGTATATTTGTAATTTTAACAGATAATTCCAAATTGCTCTCTATAGTTTATTTACTGGAAACCTGATAAAGATGGAATATCAGCTGTCTCCCAGACAATATTGCTTTTAATATACATTACCCCTGATACTGGTAAACAAGATAAAGTGGATCAAGAGGACTATGAATGAATTATAATATAAGTAAGCTGGTCGAAAGCACAGGTCACAGGTAGGGGCTTCCCTGAATCCACATTGGCATGAAAGTGGCATTCCCTTTGAGAGGATTTAGAAGCTCTGTGTCCAAAGGTTGTTACAAGAGATATTGGTTTCTTGTGTAGCACTTTGGTCTTCTAAGCCAAGAATTCTCTCACACCCACCCATGTGGTCTGGTTCTCTTACATCTGAGATGTCACTTGCAGGGAGCAGCTAAAGAATACTCTTTGCACTGTTGTGAAGATTCCCACTGAAGGTATACACCTGATGATTATCATATTGTTTGTGTGACCATTAACAAGTCACTTAACATGTTCTATGCCTCAATTTCCTCATTCATAAAATATGGAAAATACTGCCTACCTCACTGGCGTATTGAGCAGTTTAAATGAGTTAATATATGAAAAATCATTTAGAACAGTGCCTGGTACATAGTAAATGCAATGTAAGTGTTCACTGTTACTATTACTATAAATTTGAGTTTTATTATTCTAAACTTTTCTCTATGCATAAATACTTGGCAACCCTTTTGTTTTCCTCTATGCTTATTCAATTATTCAGGGTTTCTACCTCTTCCTATTAGTAGTGAATATATTTCTGTAAAACCATCTACTTCATATGGATATTCAAAATTTTGGCAGAGAGCTCTAATAGTATAGTTCTATAATATTTTAAATGGTCTATGTCTGTGGCAGTATGCCCTTTCTCGTTCCTAATGTTTTTCCTTCTGGGTCAGATGCATCAGTGTTTTTCTATCTTATTCATTCTTTCAAGGAACTGGCTTTTGGCTTTTGGTTTTGCATATTAATTCTTTTTGTTTTTCTTTTTTGCTTACTAATTCATTATTTTCTGCCTTTATTTTTTACTGTTACTTCCATTTTTTTATGTTCTAGAGTTTAAAAAATGCTTAATTAGAAAACCTTCCATCTTTCTATTAATACTAATTCATAGATCTATGAATTTTTTCTATATTCAGCTTTGGTAATAATCAGTAGGTTTTGATATGTAATGTTCCCATTGTCTATGATTCTTTTTAGTTCTGTAATTACCATTCTGACTTCTATTTTTACTGAGAATTTTTTTAGAGAAATAATTTTGTTAGTTTGATATTTGCCCTATTGGCAGATTTTGAAACAATTATTTTTACTTTGATATCAACAACAGTTTTTCAGAAATAATAACACAATATGGATCAGAATGTAATGAAAGGGCTGCTCTCAGAAATTGCTGGTATTATTGTAAATTGCTGTGTGTCCTTTAGAAGCTATTTTGAAAAGCATGGAAAATATTTATCATATTGTTTTAAGTAAAATATGCAGGATATCAAAGTGTATATACTTTAACAATATGGAATAATGTAATAAATAAATCAATGAATAGGGGAAAAAAGGTTGGAAGAACAGCAAGCAAAATTGTAGGTTTCTTTTATGGTATGGTGGAACAATTTTCTCTGCTTTACAAATATTGTTATATATTTATGTAAAAAATCATATTTTTCATTTCTTGAATGCTTGCTATGTGCTAAAAGCCTAATATATGGATCTTTAATCTTTACAGATAATACTGTACAATTCTGCAACTTCACCATTTTAAAGTCAAAATATGAAATTTGAAAAAGGTCATATAACATGAAATTATCAAATCTGTGTATCTCTACTCCAAAGTCCTTGCTCTTTCAGCTATAGCAGGGGTTCTTAATCTAGAGCTTGTGAACTTGTTTGATGAAAAGATTGTATCTCAAACTGAAATGTAGCATTTCCTTCCATTCTGAGTGTAGATAAGTCACAGAAGCATTAGCCATAGTTGTGACTCTGCAACCAATAGAAGTCATAAATATCCTCATGTCAGATTACTCTTGTTGCAGATATTGTGCAACAAGATATTGTGTTGCAGATATTTTACTCCCTCACTGCTTAGAAATGTTGGCAGTTATTAGGCTCACTACTATATCTTGTTTGATGTATTAATAAAGAATATATGTTATATCACAAATTTGGCTTTAATATTTTTGCTGACTGTGCTTTAAATATAATTAATTTCCTTTGGAATCCTGTGTATTTTATTTTATGCAGTTGAAAACTTTTTTTCTGAGGAATACAGACTGCCAAATGATTTATAGCACTAAAAAGGTTAAGGCCCCCCTGAAGCTGATTTCATTATATAATTACAAATTTTGAATTAGCTCTTAAGATGTATCATTATTCTACTATTTAAAATTTAAAATTTCATTTAAAAATGTTGCATATTCAGGAAGATAGTTGATAGAAAAATTGTACCAAGCAGAATTGCAATGTTTCCTGCTGCTTTATTTTAAGCTGCCATCAATAATTCCAAGAGCCATAAAAAAAAATCAAATAAGTAATTACTGTTCGTTGGACCCCCTATGTGGTAGCAATAATCTAAATTTATGGCAGTATCAGTACTTGGGCTTTACTAAGCCATGAACTTCAGCCTCTGAAATGGTGATTATTTTTGTTGTTGGTGGGAATGACTAGAGCCACTCAGTAAAAAAATGACATAGGTGATGCACTGTAAAAGCTGTAAACTACTATAAAATGTTACTTGTTATAAATAATGTAAATACAATTTGTGGCAAATATAGGTAAAAGAAAAAAAGGTCTTTTATAGAGAATTTAGAGTCTCTTGATTTAGTTTTAAGGTGGATGTTTTAAAAATAATCTGTCTTGTAGCTGAATTTGGTATTTGATGTTATTATTATAAAAGGTTGCTTGCCTTTGCTCATTCATCTTATTCCTTTTTTTGCCCAAAGCACAGATTGTATAAAATCTTGCCCATCTATTTTCACAGTTTCTGCTCTCTGTCACGTATAAATGATGCCTAGCTCAGAAATAATATGCCTGCAGAAACACAGCATATTTACTTTTTTTTAAAGGAATAGTCATATATCAGTTTGATTCTATTCAAGATAAATAAAAATAGGGTGATTTATTTGTCTTTTTTATTTTTAGTTACTGGATGGCAGAAGGAATGAAATCCTCAGAAAATACCAAACCGCTTTGCTTTGCGAACTCTGAAAATAGTTGGATTTGCTTGCCAACATAATTTGTTGTGAAATATACACAATTATATAACAGATCCTCTTTTCTCTTTTACTGAGAAAAAGGCTTTCTTAAAATACTTAATTATATAATTCCTGAAAGAAAATGATGTTAAAACTTTAATTTAGCAGAAGAGGAAGAAGCAACCGAAGGCCAATAATATGGAAACGCTCATGTTAAAACTGTTCATATTTTCTTCTTCGTCTCTTAGGTTTGCTCAATTCTTATTTACCGAGGAATTCAAGGCTGGTTCTCGAGTCCTTGAAAGTATATACAGCTTGTATGAAGGCTTCTCCGGGACGGTGTGCTTTCTGATCGATCTGCTGCAGCCCAATCAGGCTGAATTCCCTCTCTTCAGCGTCTTTGTTTAGAAGGCTCCATCTTCCACTGTAGTCCTGCACAAGTCCCCTGTGATTTCCTGAGCCTAACCGAGGCAGTTTCCACATAAGCCACATTTAATGGTATCACAACCATTAGCCTTAACATTGCCGCCAGAAGGAAGGGAGCAGGCAGGTGAAGGCAATATGATACCAGACTTGAATGAGAACCAACAAAGTAAAGATACCACAATTCATCTAAAAACCATAGAGATTTAATATTTCAGGGAATAGATGTGAAACCAGAGATAAGAGGAAAAAGGGAAAGAGAAATGATCTGCTTTTCAGTTATGTCATAGAAAACTAAACTGAAGTGAAGACTATGGCAATAAAATGTTAATACCTTCATAATTGGACAGAGAATTTGACCATTTGTGGGTGCCCTCCACCCCTAAATTCAGAAATAAAGGCAAAAAAAAAAAAAACCTAAAGTAATTTCCCAGCTTAAAACAGCTAGGAGAAATGAAGTATCAGGTTTCCGAAGGACATAAAAGGAAATTGTTGGTTGTCCTATGCCTTTACTTATTGAAATTTATGAATTTTACTGAATAGTGATATTTGCATATGAATCTCTATTTTTATCATTACCCTGGGCACTTTAAAGAAATCATACCATAACTTTGTTTGAACACCAAAATTTGAAGTTTCCTTAGGCCTTAGAATATCTCTTTTCCTGGTTCCTTTTTCTTTCCTAAGCTTAATTAGAATAGCAAAATTCATAAGCTAGCAAATACTGCAACAAGTGTTGCTGTCAAGTGTTTTTCTCAACTGAAAGTGTGAGGTGTGTATTGTCTATTGTTAGCAATTTTTAAAATGCCTTTATGTATGCAATTCCTGTGAAGCTATTAGCCGAACTGTAAAATATACTCTTGGTAAAAATCACTCATTTCAAAGATCAGGGTAACTGCTACAAAGACGTGTCATTCTGCCTTTGATGGAATACTGTGTCCCCTGGGACAGGCAAACAAAGGCTGAGAAAGGCACTAGTGTTTGTGGAAAGAATTTTTGCTCCATTTTATACCATTAGAGTAAGAGATGAGTAAACTCTCTGGCTGGTCAACTTACCTGCCAAGACACAGGGTCCACTAGAAATTGGCTACAATACTCATTAAGACAAGTTATCCTATCAAATTCTACTCTGCTGTAAACACATAGAAGTTGTAAAACTGCTTCAGGTAAATAGTAGTTTACAGAACACTGTAGGAGCATCTGTCACTTTAATATGCAGAACAGAGTTTACCCCTTTCTTAGACTTGGTCACTGACAATTTCATATATGAGATTGAGGAGGAAATTGTGTACTGCATAAGACTGAATTATTAAAATAGTCATTAAATATTTAGATATATGTATATATATGTACAATTGTATGTGTGTGTGTATATGTATGTATTCTACATCTATCCCTATGTAAACCCAAGTACTTATTCTTTAGTGCAATAATTATTAACTTTAATCATAGTTGGACTTTGGGAGGAATTAGGGAATATTCTGTTGCCTAAAAATATTTATGTGTCTGTTAGTGTGTGTATATATATATATATACCAGTATGTTTGTGTGTGGGGGGGGGCACGCGCGCTCTTTTTTTGGGGGAGAAGAGGACCTCTAGTGTTCATAAGATTCTCAAAGAATCTGACCAAAGAAAGGTAAGGACTATCTTTGTATATTTTATGAATCTGTATATGTTTGCACTCATCAAAATAAACCAGGAAGAAGTGATTTTGAAAAGAATACACCTTTTTAGCTTATTGTCCCATTTTCACATCCTCTGACATAAGCATATGCCACATAAATTGCAGCTTTCATATTACTCCCCAAATTGGGTTCCAGATATTCTTTCATAAATAGGCAAGTACCTCTTGGAAAGCCTTAAACAAGATGCCTTCTACAAAGTAGTCTCCTTTTGAAATGATAATGATGTTTGCTTCCACTATCTCATTATAAATTCCTTTCAGATGACCTCTATAGATTTAAAATAATAACCATCCAGTATACAAAGCTTTATGGAAACATACTTTTTTCATCATCCAGCAACCTCTCAAGATGTATTTGGTAATTGCTCCAAAGTCTTACAGCTAGGAAAGGGCAAAACAGGGATTCAAACCCAGGGTTTCACTTTCAAAGTTTATTTATTCAATGTTTTAGACAAGAATCTGGGGATACAGCAGTGAACAAAATACCCCTTCCCTCACAGTTACTTTCTGTTTCTGTTTGTTGATCCTTCCACCATTCATCCTTGAGATCTAAAACCTAAAGCACTACGAAGTGATACTCTATCTAGCTCATCTTATCAATTCCATTCCTAGCAACTTCAGGAAAACTGGACCTCTTTCCTGCTTACTCGCCCTTTTAAAGTCTGATAGGGTGACTGTGGCGTTGTGCTGACCATTATGAAAAGACAACCCTTTTGTGCATGTCAAATCCAAGCAAAGGCCATGTTTGAGTGATGTCTTTATGAAATGACATCTCAGTGAATTAGAAAAAAGGATAAGCTTGTTTAGTACTTAAACATGTTGAAACTTTTCATTTTCCTGAAAGAATAGAATTATATTTAACAGATTGGGGAGGTCCTCTTCTATCTTGTTTTCCCAAGAAGGGGGAAAAAAGGCTCTTGAGACTTTTGCTGTAGGAAAGTGTAGCATGTCACTTCTTATTTAATTATCCAACTTGTCACCTTCTATGTGCTAACATTCTTAATGTAGTACTTAAGCATGTTGCCTCCACCACCACTAGTATAACTATAATATTATTTACCATATGTGGCATGAACAATTATAAACCCTGAAGGTAACAGTGGATATGTTTGAGGATACATTGAAAGAGTCTCTCAACAATAGGGAGACTGCATTATACTTTGATAATAGGACATTTTGGAAACCATTACAACTCTGTGCATTTTGTTTCATTAATGCAATTATGTACTTTTTCTTCCGCACACACCCTAAGATATTATACATCTTTATTTTATCCAAACCTGTTTCGGTCATCTGTTTTTACTTTCCTTCATTCCACTTGTAACCTGGTAACTGAGGAGAACAGAGGTTTGACAGCATGTATTTCTCTGTGCTTCTTTAGGTAGCAAACTGTGCTGTTAAGATAATAGTATTCATTTACTGATAACTCAAGAAACAGAGTTATTTTCTTGGTCTGTGCTAAACCAGAGCTTTTCCAGTGGCAGCTTATTTCTTTAATTTTTTGACATGTGAAGATTTTAATCAATGTGGTACTCAAATTGTTTCAAATTTGAAGTAGAAAATCTCAATAATTTCAACACAACAAATATAAATTTGTGATTCCTAAGCATATTAAGTAAACATACGATTTAAAAGAAAAACATTGGTAATGTAAAGAACCCTCTGTTGGAAATCTCAAAGCCTTGCTCTGCAACTTCCATGGGCCACTATTGTAATAATAATAGTCACCCTGTCACTTCACAGGGTTGTCATAAAAGTTGTCGATGATAAAATGAATATAAGAGAGTTTTTTAGTGTGCAGGTCCTTTATGTATGTAAAAGAAATGCTATATTTTAAGTGCCTACTATGTGCAGATAAAATCATGCCCAGTTATGATTTCCAATAAGCATTTCAGCCAAACAGAATCTCCATGTGTAGATGCAGTACCTGAGGTCTAGGTCACTAGATGGCTAAAAACCAAGTGCACATTTTTTTTTATAGTCTACCACTAGTCCTGACTACAGAATTTATGCCTGTATTCTGATTCACCAGGGCTTACTACATAGGAATAGAATGGTTTAGATTGAGAGCTCCTTTTAATGCAAATATTTATTTTGCTTGCTGGGAACAAAAAGTAACAGTGCCAGTAACTTGAGAAAAGGGGCAGGCAGGCCAGGTCTGCAGAGAGAAAATGAGCTGGGAAATAAAGTAATTCTGGGGGGAGTTTGATCTGCACTTTAATTCAAGTCTCAGAACTGAGTGACATACAGTGATAGAAATATACTCTCAATTACATATAAAGACTTCCTTTGGGGACCTGGGTTATTTATTCAACATTGTCCCAAATTAATAGCTAGATGACTAAGCCTCAAATTTGTAATCTTGGCATAAATTTGGCAAGGAAAGCAAATGAGAAGGGATGCAAAGGAGTGGATGAGGGGAAGCTTGCTGAAACTCGGCATCTCAAAGTGAGTTGTGGATACACGTTTAATTCTACTGAGAACCAGTCCAGTCGTACTGGTGCTGGTGATTTTTTTTTTTTCTTCCTGGGACCTCTAATCCTGGACCACCCCTGATTCAGCAACTTCTTGTCCTCCTTAAACAGTTCATTGTGTTATGTTTATTCCTATATCTGTTTAATCTTGTGACCTCCTTTTGCCTGGGAGGGCAGGTTTTCTCTTTATCTCTTCCATCCATGTCTGTTCGTATCTAAGGGTTCCAGGTTCAATAAGGCTCAACTCCTCTCTGGACATAAGGGTGGACTTCAGGGTGAGCAATAGCAAGAGTTGGGTCTAGTCTGTAGTCAGATCGCAAATGCAGAACAGCCTACCATGCATGTGGCTGTGCATGAGAATAGGGTGGTAGCTGCATTTATCTTGCTTCCCCTCCATAAATAAACCTGGTCATTTTATTTTTACTGTTACAAAGAAAAAGTTGATGCTACATTAAATATTTGGCCCTCATCCATTATCATAAATCTCATACTGTAGTGTGCAGTCTCTCTTCTTGTTTCTTTAATTGAAAGTGCTAATGAATTGAGGCCTGATGGATGATGCCTTTAGTGGTTTTTTTTTAAATATTTGCTTTAATTTTCTTAAAGTATTGAACCTTGTCATTTCTACATAGATTCTTCCACAAATGGCAAAGTTGTTTATCTGCAGAATCCTCTGCATCTTTCTTTGCCTTTGTGCACCTGTTATTTACCCCTCTGAACTGAATTTAAAACTTATTTTAAATAAAAACCAAATCATATTTTTATTCTTTGGGGGAGGATTGATGAGTAATATAGATTAAAAGAACAGACTATCCTCTCTTTTCTTGAGTTTCTCTTCCCTGTACATATTGAGGAAGAAGAGGGAAAGGTAGAGATAATTGACAATGGTTGTGAAGGACTTAACTGTCCAGTTTGCAAGGATTTCCTGTTTACTTCCTCTTTGGTTTTTCTTAGTCTTTGTAGGAAATAGTTTACCTGTGTTTGTGTGTGTGGGTAAACAGTGGAGAGAAAGAAAAAGAGAGAGACTGACTTAAGGAGAGTCAATATCACATAGGAAAATAAAACCCAACATTTAGCTATTAGATATATCTGAGTGAAAGGATATGTTCATGCTAAATTGATTAATGAATGGGTCTTAATTGTGTGCTAACTGCTCTGTAATAAATTAGCACATAATTAATGAGGTCCCTAGTTACACTTCAAATGTTCTGTCTTAAACATTTGTTTTTATTAAAAATTCTGCCAGGTTAAAGCCATTAGAGGCCATCTGTAGATGATAACCACCATGAGTTTCACAAATACGGCAGTGGTATATGATAGAAATGTAATAATGTGAGCCACAAATGCAAATCACATATGTAATTTTTAAATTTTCTAGTTGCCACATCAAAAAAGTAAAAAGAGAAAGGTAAAATTAATATTAGTAATGTTTTTATTTTGACTTAACCTAGTATATCCAAAATATTATCATTTCGATATGCAATCAATATAAAAATTTTAATGAGATATTTTAGATATTTTGTATTGACCCTTCAAAATCCAGTATGTATTTTACACTTACTGCACATCTCAAGTTGGACTAGCCACATTTCAAGTCTACAAGAGCTACATGTGGGTTAGCTATTGTATTGGGCAGGGAAGGGCTATCATCCCATTCCTGTTTCCCAGCATTGATAAAGTCTTTCTACTACTTATATTTTATTTTGTTGTTATAAGAGAAAATTGAAATAGAATACTGCAAGTTATATGAATACTTCAATATTTCCCCAAAGGCACCACAGCAGTGCCAAGAATTGTCCTGTAGAAAAATATGCTCTGTGATTAAGTAAGTTAGGAAAGTTCTATCCTTTTACCCTCTTTTGGAGATTACATGGTTCATTAACATATTAAAGACTCTGAGAAAACTCTCCTAGGTAAAGAAACCTGTTTGAAGGTGTTGAATTATTGAGTTCTGTGTCTGTAAGAATTCTAGAAATTGCCATAAGTGTCTCTTCATAAGAAAATCTTTGTGTTTTCTCCTCCCTCTCTACTCCTTTTGGGCTCATTTATATATTTCTCTTTGTATTCAGAGTCTCCTGAGAGCCAAGATATCTCTTTTGTTCTAGAACAACCACTTATTAAATTGAAACCAGCAGATGGCTTTAAGGTCTTGCACTTGGATATAGATCTTCAGAAAGTGCTATAATACATATTAATACCTTCCTGTTATTCTTTCAGAAATGATGAATGCTAAAAAGATGGGGGAAGAAACATCTGAATGTGTATATGTATAAACATAGAATACATACAGTTTCTTATGTAGAGTATTACAATTCCTGCTGATGCTTTCTTCTTATATTTTGTGTGTGGTGTTAATTTACATGCTTTAATGTGTACTATTCTTGTAATGTGTTTGAAGTAGCTATGACATAACAATAATTTTAAAGAAGATATAGACTATATTTGACTATTGTCAATCTTTAGCAAATGATCTTTTTGCAACTTGGTTTTAGTGGGCCCTCTGATATTGTCCCCATAAGTTTTAAGATCTGTGGATAGTGACAATTACCAATAAAATAAATTCTGCTGCTGAATTTGGTTCAAGTTAACTGTGGTAACCTTTATTTGTGGATGTATTTAAATAAGCAGATTCTTTAAATGATCAGTTTTGTCTCTGTTTTTTAGGGCTTTAGTATTTCAATATTAGAGATGTCTTCTGAAGACTGTAGCAGCAGAATTGCTTTGCTCTTGAAAATGCAAAGTGTAACATGAGTTGTATATAGACTCTCCAGGAGTAGAAGTAGAATATTCTCTAGTGCAAAAGTTTGGTTTTAGAATATGATAAGGAAGGGCAGCCCATTCTCTAAAAAGGTAACAGCTTTTCCGACTTAGAACATCTGGGGGAGCTCTCCATGAAAGGGAAGTCTGAATTTTAATCTCTTGGACTTGATGGCACTAAATCAACAAAAATTTTAAAATGGATTTTGTAGAACCCAATTATTAGGGGAAATACTTTGCAAAGCCATATGCTGGGGAAGATACACTGGGTCAAACACCACATGTTAGTTTTGGAATGTGTATTTCTCAGTGAATAGAATTTATTTCACCAAAAAGATGTTTTTTCTTTTTTGCACAATGCACAGTACTTACAGAAATATTGTATTATTGGAGAAAAAAAGCTCACCTTCCTAATGATACATATCACAAGCAGAAAATTAGTGCAATTTCTTAATTATGGGCGTACAAAGGAATAATCTGTCAATATAGTATAACTGCTTATTTCTAATTGTATCCAGGAATGAATAAGTACTATTATTTAAAGTACGATTGAACTTTGAGGAACTGCTCAATGAATTAGTATTATTAATAAAATTATACTCTTTACAATATATTTGCCTCAGCACAAATACAGTTACAAACATAAAATCATAAAAAAATACACCAAATAATAGAGATTGGTTGTTACTACTTTAAAATTCTACTAATTTCCATTAACACTAAATCCAATACCAGTTATCGGTTGTATATAACTAAAATTTTGAAAGATTTGCACACAACAAAGTGAGAGGCTTTTTAAAAAACGCCTTTTTGCCAAAAACAGGTTCTATGACCTCTTGCTAATTGTTATATTTCCTTAGGGGCACTTTGAGGCGCTTTCAAAGACATAACTGTAGCAATTAGGTCTAAATTTAGAACAGAATGTTCTGCCAGATATTTTACTATATTACAAAATGGCATACTACTGTATTTTATAATAAAACCAAATTCTCAAGTATTATGGTATGTTACATATTATTATACCAAAACACCACTTTCTATAAGTTTATTATTATGTACATAATATTTTAAAAAATAATGAGTATTTCAGTCCTAGTGAAAAAGTATAATGCAATACATGACATTAAATTGATCTTTAGTCAAAATCCATTTAGGTGTTTGATAGGAAAACTAGCAATTATAAGCTGCAATGTATACGTTATTCTCAAGGACAAAATGGCAAATGATACTATAGAAAGACATGATCACTGCATCAAGTTAGCTAGTGTACAGATTGAGAAAGATCAACTTGCAAATGCTCATCAGATCTTAGCTTTTGGTATTGGTTGTTCCTGGAGGGGAAGTACTAGTCAGTTGATGTTGCTTCCCCTTCATGTGGGGGGTTTACTCACACACAGCCCACTGTGTTGTATAATGAAATGTCTTTAGAAGCGAGTTTGAGTCAGAAGCTTAGAGATGCACCTTACTGTTTTTAAAACTGCTGTTACAAAGTTCTAAACACTGTGATTTTTCCAAATGTGTTTTCTGTATTAGTTTTGTACTGTAGAAAATAATTCGCCATAAACTGAACTTTATAGTGTTTAAAGCCATGTTATTTATTTGCTTATTGTCCCCTTCAGCACATTTACTACGTACAGTATACTTAATAATGTAAAACCTGTGATATTCCTTTGCCTTAAAATAAAATCTAATGCTTAATATTGAGTGTGTTCTCAATAATTCTAAGCTACTAGTTCATTTTCCCTTTAAAGCTAGCCATGGTGTCCAATAAAATATTACACAAATACTCTGTGGAGTGTTGCTGCTGATTCTGTGTTTCTGACACTGTACGGTATCTTGATCCAGGACATGGTGGCCTGCTGGAATCTATAAATAGACATTAGTAATCCTTTTGGAGAAAGGGCCTGGTACCTCTCAGCTGTTGGCTGAATCCATTTCTCAACCCTTATAAATAGATTTTCCCATGCCACACAAAGACCAAGTAAAACAGCCTGTCATGTTCTCTCCCTCTACTTTTTTTTGTCTTGATTCCTTCTGAATCTTCACATGCTTTTTATTTACATTATTTTCCTACATAGAAAAGTGCCAGAGATGCCTGAAGATTTAAATCACTATTTCAACAAGGAAATGTATCTTATAATTATTTAAGTCTAAGTGCTTTATGGAACAGGTAAAACCTGAGTTTTAGAGAGATTTAGTAGCTCGATCAAGGTCTGAGGGACAGGGGTGGTCTCAGTCCATCCTGCTGTCCAGAAGATGGTAGAAAGTTCAGTGGGTGAAAAGGAATTGTGTTAGTCTTGGTATTGGCATACCAGTAAGCAGGAGGCTGCCTTGGATTAGAAAGCTGCTTCCTTATTAACAGGCCCTGATCTTTGCCCTGAGTTAGTCACAGTTATAGAGAAATACATTTTTGTAGGCAGACTTTCTGGGAGATAAGGCTCTGATGCTCTTTTACCATTGGAAGCAATGCTCAGACCACTGTATTTGGAAGATGAAGGGCATGCTCACATGGCACAGTGAAAAGTGAAATCCTTCCCCATCTTGATGCAAGACAATACCTTGCACGTTGAAAAGCATGTGTGATCTGGTTACTTTTAAATGACCGGAAACGCTGGCCTTTTGAAGAATCAGGCGTTTCCTCAGCCCAGAAAATAAAGACTGGCGACAAATGCGTCCAGAAACCAATTCTGGGGCCCTTTGGTTGCAGTTTTCAAACGGATGTGAACGGTTTCCCAAGACAGCACCATTAAAGGACTCTAGGACCCAGAGGCTGCGCGCTGGGCCAGCAGGGCCCGTGTTATCCTTTTGAGCTCCCGCGCGGCGCGAGCTGTCGTCGGACGCGAGTTCGCGGCCCGCCAGGGGACTGGAACAGTCGCCACAGAGACGCCGCGGGCGCTGAAGCGCGCGGACGGTGCACGGTACGCGTGGGCGTGTCCTGGCGGGGCCGCGCTGCTCGCACCACCCCAGCCAGGTCGGCAGCCCCAACCAAGGTCCAGCTCCGGCGCCAGGGCCGGTGGGCCGGGCCCGCTTGCCCTCGGCGGGCTGCGCAGAGCGCGGGAGCAGGTCGGGGCCGGGCATGCCGGGAGCCCCTCAGACAGCCGCCGCCAACGCCGCCGCCGCCACCGCGTCCGCCTCCGGTACGCGCCGCTGACACGCGGAGATGAAATTCCCGGCCTCAGTGCTGGCGTCCGTTTTCCTGTTTGTGGCCGAGACGACCGCTGCGCTCTACCTGAGCAGCACCTACCGCTCGGGCGGGGACCGCATGTGGCAGGCTCTGACGCTGCTTTTCTCGCTGCTCCCCTGCGCGCTCGTGCAGCTCACGCTCCTCTTCGTGCACCGCGACCTCAGCCGCGACCGCCCGCTTGTGCTGCTGCTGCACCTGCTGCAACTTGGGCCTCTCTTCAGGTGCGTGCGCCACAGCCCCCCGGCCTGCTCCCCACACCCGCCGGAGCCGAGGGGGGGGGGCGGCCTTCCGGTAGGGACAGGTGGCTGGACCCAGGGCCAACCCGCCCTGCCCCCCCCTCCCCAGGGCCCCATCATTTCAGTCACAGGAATGCGACAGAGTCCTTGGCATAAAGGTAATAAAGCGGAGGAGCACTGCATTCCAGTTAGGTTCCATCACATGAAATTGCCAACATTTAGCTGATACTAACCAACAAAAATGGCAATTTCATGTGGTTCATCCTCGTTAGACACATTGCTTTCTCTGTGGTCCAGTGGGCTCTGGCGAGATTGGCTTGTGTGGTCACAAACCCTTAGGAAATGTGTTCTCGGTCTCGGTAGCCACACTGTATACAGGTAATTTAATCATTTAATTTAATTATCATAATAATCATTTAAATCAAAATAATCATTTAATTTAATCATTTCTCAAAAATATGGAGCTTACTGTATGCCAGGCACTGTTCTAAGAGCTTTACAAATATTAATTTATTTAATTCTGATAAAGAAGTCTAGAAATCCACCCGCCATTCTTTTTCCTTGGTGATGGTATGAATATTATGGGCTGTGGAAACATATGGGGTTGTAGAAATGTGTTCCGGCCCTGCCTAATTTATAAACATCGTCATGAAAGCTGGTAGACAATGTGCCACGAAGACTAAAACTTAACTGTGTGTTAAGTGATGAAAACCTGTTAGTGCCATTTCTGGAAATTAATTTTTATTAACACAAAGCAAGTGGAAATATATAACAAAATAGACTTGGGCTTATCTAAGGAGCATGGAGGGAGTTGAAAAATATGTTGTTTTCATATCTTTCATCTCTATAGGAAAAGCAAAACAAAGGCTATCTGGATTAGAAATAAGTTTATACTACTGAAATTGAGACATAAGTGACAGGAATTTGAAGAGAGAAAGGCCGGAGACACCTGAGCCGCCAGAAAATTCAGCCAGCCTAGCCTAGAACCTTTCCTACCAGAAAATCAATACAATCGCTGTCTTTGACACACACACACACACACACCCAGTCACTCACACACACACACACAGAGTAGCAAGATAGATTTTACAAAGCCCTATTGGAAAACTTTTGTGCCTTATATTAAAGACAAATGTCCCATGCTATGACATTCTGTTGACTTTAAAAAAAAAAAAAAAAGACAACTGTCCCAGCTGACACTCAGACTACTGACTTGCAGTTTACACACAGTCACAGCAAACTTGGTGAACGAGTTTCCCAGCCTCCAGAAGCTGCAGAATCCTAGAAAGGAAGAGAAACAGGTAGCCTGGCAGGAGTGAGAAGTTGCTACTGACATCCTGATAGCCAGGAAAGGGTCAGGAGGAAAACAGGATGAGGGGAATTTAAAAAGTCCTGCAACCTTGAGTCATTTAGTGAGGAGAAGTTTAATCCTCCCTAGCCAAGTAATCTCCGTGGTCCTGTTTGTATTCCTGCTCAATAAAATAAATAAAGCAATTTCAAGGTGCTCACCATTTCTTAACATTGTTTGTGAAAATAAAACTCACGTTTAAGTGGAGTAACAGGGAAAGGGAGACTGACATTTCTTAAAAGCTTCGTGTGGTAGGTGGTTTGGTATGTACTTACATGCCTTAGTTCATTGAATCCTTGCCATGAGGTATGTAATTCTCCCCATTTTACAGATGAGGAAAATGAGGCCCCAGAGTGACCATGTTCCTTCCCAAGGCTTCTTAAAAATGGAGTTAAGTATGTTCCCCATGCTCAGTGAAAGAAAGCCTAGGAGTATGTGGTACATTCTCTCAGTAGTTCCTTTCTAAATTAAGAAAAAGTTTGGTCATCTTGGCAAAATTAAAGAAACACAACCTAAATAACCATCCAAGTAAATGATTATACCCTGTTACTACCATTTAAAAATGTTTCTAAACCCTAAGAGGAGCCCAAGACAAAGCTAATGACATAATATATATAAAAACAGGATGACAAGTATAAACCTGAGCTCAAGGAAATATGCCAAGATGTTAAGAGTGGTAGTTTCTAAATGGTGGGGTTATGGGTGCTTTTGAAAAATATAGAAAAGTATATTATTTTTCCTTTATACTTTTTTTTCACTTTTTATTTTTGACAGAGTCTCACTCAGTTGCCTGAGCTGGAGTACCATGGCGTCAGCCTAGCTCACAGCAACCTCAAACTCTTGGCTCAAGTGATCCTTCTGCCTCAGCCTCCCAAGTAGCTGGGACTACAGGCATGTACCATCATGCCTGGCTAATTTTTAGTCTATATATTTTTTAGTTGTCCAGCTAATTTTCTTTCTATTTTTAGTAGAGATGGGGTCTCGCTCTTGCTCAGGCTGGTCTTGAACTCCTGAGCTCAAACAATCCACCAAGAGTGCTAGGATTACAGGCGTGAGCCGCTGTGCCCGGCCTATTTTTCCTTTATACTTTTAATACTTTTTAATTATAGTAAAATATTTTAACTTTATTAAGGAAAGAAACAGGTTAGTGTTTTTAAAGGATAACTTTTCAGCTATTTAGAAAGTTTCAACACTATAAAAAACCTATTTCCAGAAAGTTTTGAGTGGGTCATTGTCTTGGAGGAAAAACAAAATAAAAGAACAACAATCAACTCCCTTCCATCAACAAGAAGACTCTCGTTCTATTGTGGCTGATTTATTTCAAGGAGATATTGGTCCCATGATCTTAGAGCTGAGATATATAAATATGGTTCCAAGTCTTTCAGCTTCCAGATGAAAAGAAAAGCAATTTGTTGTTGTGTATTAGCGTGACTTAATATCTTACTGGAATTTCTTCCTGCTGACTGATTCTATTTTAACTCTAAGACATCAGCTTTACACAGAGATCAAAATGCTTTCCCCCAAACAAATACCAAACATGGTGTTTCTCCTTACCATTCCTTATTGGTTGGATTTAGTAATATTTCTAAATTGATTTTGGACAGTTTGGTCTATTTACCTTTCAGTGGGTAGTAGCCAAACTCATGTTCTTCTTAAGTTCGTGCTGCATTTGAATTCACACAGGATGATGGCTCAGTTAAACTGCAATATATTGCACTAATGAGTCTGGGTTAAATACTACTAACTAGGCTGTGCTCCTTCTTTTCTTTAGGGAGACTTGGGGAGAGTACCATATTACTTATATTAGTCTCATATTTAATACTGTAGTTGCAGTTTGTATGGTTGTTTCCACATTAAGCCTGGGTTTGAATGATATGAACTTTGAATAATGTCTTGAATTTATTTTTTACAATTTTAAGAAAAATCATATTGTGAATGATAATAAATATCCTGGAAAACCACAGGGGGAAAACATCTTTTACCAAGAAAAAAAAGCATTTGAAAAAACATTTCTGTTTATCATTCTTTTATAGTTATGGTAGTTTTAATTAATTAATTAATAGGAAAGAATAAATATAAATGAGTTACAAATTCTAAGAATTCCCCCATTTTTATTACAGATTTATTACAGATATAATTTTTATTACAGATATAATGAGGGAAAATGGTGCATGAAAAATTTAGATTCATAAAATAAAGGCTAAGAAGTTATAAAAATCTTTCTAGAACAATGCAAAATGACTCACCACAGTATTTCTCTCTATAGTAAACTTTCAAAAGAATTTAAAATAATATTAGTTTACATTTGAAGAGCATTATTTTTCATTTGCAAAGTGCTTTTACATACAGTATTTAATTCCATCCACTGTAAAACCCTGTGAGCCAACTGTCATTATCTTATTTTTACAATCCAGGAATTGAGGTTCAGTGAGATTAAGTAAGTGGCTTTTCAAAAGTCTCACAGCGTTTTCTATTTAACCAGTTTGGTTCTTGCATAGCACATGTCATATGAAGATAACATGGCTTATAGCAAATCATACTCAGTATTTCTTTGGAAAAGCTATTAGGGTGTCTGGTACCACAAGTTATTTTTGCTGGCATCAACAACATGTATCGTTTCACCTAAGGAATAAACTTCTGCCTTGATGCTTGAAAAATGTGATACGTGGTGCTTGAAAATGGGGTAAAGTGAAAAATATAGATCAACCTGCTGATTATCTACATCAGGGTCAGCAAATTGCCCCACACGCCAAATCCCTCCCCACCTATTTTTGTAAATAAAACTTTGCAAAAGCTTTTACTCATTTACTCATGAGTAAATGAGTCTCAACTCTAAGATCATGGGTCCAATATCTCCTTGAAATAAATCAGCCTTACTTCTTGGTTTATGTATTGTCTATAACTGCTTTCACACCACAGAAGTAGAGTAGAGCAGTAGAAATAGAGACTATGCCCTGCAAAGCCCAAAATATTTACTCTTTGAAAATACTTTACAGAAAAAGTTTGCCCTGGTGTACATGATACTGAAAAACTGCACTGAATGATTTTGATGAAAGTATCTAATTTCTGGCTTTATTTAGACAATCCTTCAAATGAAAAAACAAAAATTAAGAACAGATTTGGAGTAATTAGGTGAGTCTTGAAGAATTCCAAAAACAATAGTTTGTTCTTGTCAATTTTCTTAAACAGCAGTGGCAGGAGGTCTTAGGGACTTTCACAAATTTATTAAAATCTACTATCTGTAAAACTCTGTGCTAAGACAAATGTATTACCTGGGAAAAAACAGTGGATTTCAAAAGGGTCCACCTGGACTTTAGGGCCACCTGTGCCATTAACTCATTCTGGGACCTTATTTTATTTCCATTGCTTGATCACAGAATTTTAATTTCATCTGCAGTTCTGTAGAATGTTTCCCATTTCATATAGCTTCTTCCACAGCATCAAGAGAATTGCTTTCTGCTCTGAACCCTCATTTCATTCATTCAGTTCTTAGCATGTGCTGGTGTTTCATTTGTTTGTTGGTTTTAGTCTTTAAAACCCCGAAGTTTGATTTTATCATGCAAGTAAAACATTTGTTGTTGAAATGACAGAAGATCAGAAACAGATATGCACAATGAAGAAAATAAAACCTCTAATTCAACTGCCTAAAGAGAATAATTCTTAACATTTTTGTTATATATCCATACTAATATCTTTATGGTGGTATGCTTGTAAACCATGTCTCGGGGAAAATAAACCCTGATTTTCAGTGTTTGCTTATTTCCCTAATGTGTGTATTCCCATCATGGCTGATCAAGCTACCAGTTGTTTAACATCTGGCTCACAAAATTCCTGTTTCACAGTTGGCTCTCTTTCATCAGTATGAGCCAGCTTAAACACTTTGTTTTGTGTGTATATGTGCACGTGTGTGAAATTTGTAAATATTTTCATATACGTGATTTTCTTTTCACAAAAAATGGAATTTTCTATTGTAATTTGCTGCTTTCACTTACCAAATATGGTAAAATATTTATATATTAATAAAAATATTTATATATTATGAAAATATTTATATATTAATATATGTATTTTTATACCATCAGTTTTAAGGACTGTATAATATTTCATTGAATGGTTATATTATGATTTATTTGTTTTTATTTTGAAACTTTTAGAGTATTTCCAGAATTTTGTTATTACAAATAATGCTATGATTCAAATTCTTGCAGTAGGTTTTTTTCCTAAGTGAGATAATATATGAGAACACATTTTATAAGCTAAAAGTGCTATATAAATATTAGTTTTCAATATTTGTTATTCTTATTATGTATCTCAGTATTCCATTTAAATTGTGAGTACCTCCAAATGAGGAAGGGATATCCATCTGTCTTTTCATTCCCCAGCAAAGCACTTAGAAAAGTATGTCTCATTCATCATATATTTGAGAATAGAGATGATGATCAGTTTATTCTATCTTCTAATCCTTGCTGTAGTTAGTGGTCCAACAGTATAAAGTGGCTAGGCCTCATTCAGTCCTTAGTCATAGGTTTGGATTGTCCCTTAGAGAAAATTCAGTTGGACTGGCTGGGCATGAACTCATGGCCTGAATGTCATTAACATTATTTTCAGCTAAACAAACTGGTCCATGCTGTTTTACATGTTTTTTATGTAATATATTAAAGTGGCCTTGACCACACTGGACAAAATGTAGTAGAAAAACCTGTATGTCTGATCTCTCTCTTTTCTCTCTCTCTGTGTGTCTCTCTCTCTCTGTGTCTCTCTCTCTCTCTGTGTCTCTCTCTCTCTCTCTGTCTGTCTCTGTCTCTCTCTCTCTCTCTCTCTCTCACACACACACACACACACACACACACACACACACACACACTGCTATGTGCCTACTTTCTCCAAGGAGCAAATGAACAAAGGTAATAATCACAAAATATGTCCACTTTGTACTCACCAGAAATGTTCCTGCATTGCTCCTCGTATATCAAGTTTTATTTTATTATTTCAAATTATAAACATATTCTTGTTGCCATAGCACCTCAGGGTGAGAGTATAAAGTTAACATTCAATAAAATAGATGAAGCCATAAAATCTTCCAGCAGCATCATAAGGTTGTTATAAAAGTGTGTACTTGAGGAAGAAAAGTCATTTAACGATGTTTAAACCTAAGGCCATGTGCATTTTTCTTACTCCTGGGGAAAACCCATTTCCCCCCCAGCATTTTATTATGAAAATATTCAAATACACAGAAGAAAACTTGAAAGAATTCTACAGCGATCGCCCAAGTACCCATTATCTAGATTCTATAGTTAACATTTTGTTTCACACATCTATCAGTCCGTGTGTGTGTGTACTTCAAAGTAAATCACAAACATCAGTACTCTTACCCCCTTTGGCATCCTTATTACCTACAGAGGAAATCCCAATTTTAAAAGCCAGGTATTCTCTCCATCTAATGTTACTGGTTAAGGTTCCATCCCTAGGGCAGCCTTGGAATTCCATAAATAAGACATATCTGGCAGGCCTCCAGGCGTGATTGACTTTTGCCCTGTCCTGTAAGAGCTTATAAGAACTGAGAGATAGATATTATATTGTGGCTTTCCAGTGAAATACTAAATGGCAAGCTACCCTTCACTGGGGGATCTCCAAACAATAGCTTCTGCTTTAACTGGGGTGGTTCGGGGCATCTTTGGGATATGGAACATTTTTATGTATATATACATATATATGTAACATATGTATAAATACATACACATACATAGATTTGTATATATACACACACATATACTGTATTATTTCCATCTTTCACAGCGATGTAGCAAAGTAAGTATTATCTCTAGTTATCTAAGTATTATCTCTACCTATAGTTGAGGGAAAGGGCTCAGAGGGGTAACTGACTTACCCAGGGATGCACAGCTAATATGTGTCAGGAAGGGAAATTGAACATTTTTCTGTGAGTCTGGAGCCCAAACCACTTTCCATTTTCTAGATTTCCTTGCTTCAGTGGCCATCAGTGTCACCTCTCAATTTTATTCTCACCCAATTCCCATTGACCTACTGGAGGGCCTCAAGAGGACTTTGTGCTCTGAAGTAGTCCTTGGAGTGGATAATTCAGAGGAGTGACTACAGTCTGGAGTAGCCAAGTCAAGGTTTTGAGAATCAAGCTAAGTGTGAGCAGGATGAATGTGAAAAGACAGACAGAATCCTGTGTGTTTCTGATTATTATGACTTGCTGGTTTGTTTCCAGGTGTTTTGAAGTCTTCTGCATCTACTTTCAGTCAGGCCACAATGAAGAGCCTTATGTCAGCATCACTAAGAAGCGGCAGATGCCAAAAAATGGCTTCTCTGAGGAGATCGAGAAGGAGGTGGGCCAGGCAGAAGGCAAGCTATTCACCCACCGATCTGCGTTCAGCCGGGCTTCAGTGATCCAGGCTTTCCTGGGTTCAGCTCCCCAGCTGACCCTGCAGCTGTATATAAGCATCATACAGCAGGAGGTCACTGTTGGAAGAAGTATGTATATATTTTATTTCTATCTGCATTTGAGGATCAAAATGGGAAGCAATACATACTATTTGTTTTGTTTCAAGTGAAATTTGTTCATATGTACATTCAGTCTTCAATCTATGTTCCAGTTACTAAGGTCAAAACTTAGTGGGCTAAAATAACATTTATTTTGCTTATGAATCTGCATTTTGGGCAGAGTTCAAAATATTTATGGTCCACTATGGATCAGTTAGGGTGGCTCAAAGATGAGGGGCTAGAATCCACTGAAGTCTTATTGACTCACATGTCTTGTTTCTGGCTACTGTTGGGAGTCTTGTATCTTCTTCATTTGATCTCTCCATGTGGGCAAGCTTAGGCTTCCTCATAGCATGATGGCTGCTTCCAAGGGTGAGTGTTCTAAGAGCAAGAGAAGGCTGGGTGGAAACCATATCACCTTTTGTGATCCAGCCTTGAAAGTCATGGGACATCACTTCTTCTGCCTTCTCTTTGTTGAAGCAGTCACCAAGTCTTGCTGACATTCAAGGGAAGGAGAGGGAAGTAAACTCTGACTCTTGTTGGGAAATGGAAGAGTTCTGGAAGATCATGTTGGACCAAAAATATCATTGTGGCCATTTTTAGAAAATGTAGTTTGCCAGAGGCTGAAAATATAGCTGCTAGAGGCTGGTTCTCTTGGGATTCAACTCTGTCTTTCACTGATAGTTCTAAACTAGATGAGACAGTTGGTTTAACAGCTTTATGGCAAATGATGGAACAGGGCCACTTTTCTCTCTTCTTGGAGTTCCAATAGGTATTTCAGCTTTTAAATGAATACAGTTTTCTAAGCTTTGAGCTATTCTCAAATTGAGAGCAGATTTTGGTTAAGTCAGGTTTCTAAAAAATCCTGTATTTGCATTGGACACAAGTGAAAAGCCTTCAAATGAAAAGGGGAAATAATTATTCCCAAATATTAATATTATGGGTAAATGAAAACCAGACATTCTAGTAAGTTTTACTACAGATATACAAAATGATTTAAAAGCCTTAAGTTGAAAAAAATACAAATTTAAGAAAACATTGAAATTGGAATTAAACACTCTTGTTTATTTCACTCCACTCAATTTTATCCTCCTTCTGCCTATATTTTAGACTGGCTGGCAAAATTTCTTAATTCTTGGTGAGGTCACAGGATACTTGCATGTTAGAACTGTTTTCCTTAGCCAGGTTACCTGAATATGAGTCTTAAGATATGAGTCAGAATCTTAAGTAGAGGTCTTAAACCTTGGTGGATTAACATTTATATGAAAATCCCTCCCACAATCCCTGGTAGACAGTAAGTGCTCAAATATATATAGCAGCATCCTTATTCTCTAAGGACTTAATGGGTCTTGACCAATGTGAGTCCTCTTCATACCACTATACCCTTTTCCCAGTTTATTAATTTTTCCAAGTGGCACAACAAGAAACCAGATTTGGTGATAGCCTGTTTGATTTTTACAAGTAGATCCATTTTTTTCCTCAAGCTTTAGATAGTGAAGACTGTCTTATAGTTGAGGGTCTCCAGTTGTAATAGAGACCATGGGGCCCACAAAGCCTAAAACATAGCTTCTTACAAAGAAAGTTTGCCAACCACTGTTGTAGCTTTTCAGACAGAATTCTGTTCAGGAAAAAATAAAACCTATTTTATAAAATGTCATCAGTATCACAAGGGATATCCTCCAAGAACTTGGAAAAATATAAGTCTTTTGAGAGTTGAACAAAATATATGATATTCATGTAGAAAAAATCAACCAAGGAAGTACAAGCAGAGTTGTAGATTTGATCTAATAACTATTTTGAAATATGAGAGGTATCAAGTAATATGTAAATATAAAGGAATAGTTCTGTGAACAACAAAAATATATAGTGTTATTTACATGTGAAAGCATATAAGAACACTTATAAACAATATAAGATACTTTATTTAACATAAGTGTTTGTAGGTACATTGTTACCAACTGAAAAATTAAATAAAGATAATTAATTTATAAAAAATAATAAATCAAATAAATATGGGAAAAGGAAGTAGGCACAATCCTGTTAAAAAGACAGATGGCTGCCATTTATTCAGGTGTGGACTAACCTCAATCACTGCCTAACATATCTGAGGAAAAAATTCCCTTACCCAGAAGAGGCAAGGGCCTTATAAATGGAGCATGGGCTAGGGTGTGTCACAGAAGCGAATGTTGGTAGTATGTGTCATATGGTTAGGAATGCATTTGGTGCAAGAGACAAACACCTGACCATAGGTTTAAACAACCTAGGGTTTATTTTGTTCATTTAATAAGAAACTGGAGGCGAGTAGTTGTAGGCATAATCTCATCTGCTCAACAATGGCAAAGTTGATGTCTGTAAATCCATTGGCCCCTCATTTGCATTTCTACTGCAGCTCTAACCATCACAGCTGCATTCAAGACAGGAAGAAGGGCTGAAGAGGGAAGGGCAGGTGTCTTTCTCCTTTTATTAATGAGTATAGCTTTCCCAGAAATCTCCCTAGTAGAACTTACTTTAGGTCTCGTTGAACAGAACTGATCACATGGTCACTTAGTTGCAAGGAATGCTAGAAAAGCCAGGCATAGGAATGATTTGCCACCAATGGTTTAAACCAGTATTCCTTAAACTTGCCTGAAGATGATTACAGTTATCTGGGGGCTTGTTAAATATGTAGATTATGAGGGCCTATCTATAGAAATTGTGATTGCCAGGTCTGGGATAGGAGCCAAGGATATGCCTTTTACTTTTATTTCTCTCTCCTTTTAAATGGCCCCCAGGTGATTTTATTCTCAACAAAGTTTAGGAATATTGTATTAGACTAGTCATGACCTGCCTGAGTTTGGGCTTGTTGCCACCTAGAACAAAACTCTGTTTTCTTAGTGGAAGGAATGGATATTGAATAGACAACTAACAGTATCTGCCACACCACCTAAACACAGTCCAGACCAATAACAATGTCTATCCTCTTGTCAGGAGAATGACAAAGAGTCCATCAGAACCTGACCCCATTGAACATTCAAATTTGTAACCCTCTCCTCTCTCTCTGATTCTGTTCTCGCTGAGCAAACGTCAATGAATATAGCATCAGCAGAGTTTGGCATGAAGGAGAGAAAGTAGAGCCAGCTCCATGGTCACTGGAGAGTTGGTTATTTTTTAATTGTAATGTAATTCATATAACATAAATTTCACCATTATAAGTATACAATTCAGTCGCTTTTAGTATATGCATAGTGTTGTGCAGTCTTTGCCACTACCTAGCTTTAGAACATTTTCATTGCACCCAAAAGAAACCCCCTACCCATCAGTAGTCATTCCTCATTTCCCCTACTCCTGCCACCTGGCAACCACTAATCTACTTTCTGTTTCTATGGATTTGCCTGTTGTGCATATTTCATATAATGGAATCAAACACTATTGGAAAGTTTTTCTTCTCATAGTTGATGAATAATGGACACTGTTTCTATGAGCTTCAATCTTGGAGTTTGGCCATCGTGAGACTCCTTGAGTCTTGTGAGTTCTCAGCAGGGGCTTGCTCAAGTCTCAGGACTTTGGAAGATGGGTTGTGCTGAAGCCCAGGAGAGCACACCAAGGTTACTGTGCTCTATCATGGTCCCTGCAGCCTGCAATTTGGCCTGTCTGGCCCTCACAGTGCCCTCCTCTCTTCCACTCAAGGTGGTAATGTTGGTAGTAATCATGACTATTTCATGAATCCTTGCTTTGTGCCAGGCACTGTGATGGGCATCATTGTGTTTCATTTTCACAGTGTCCCTGTGAGGTAGATAATATTATCTGTATCTTAATAAAAAGGGAGAATGTACTCACTGTCTGTCAGAGGAGCCAGGATTTGAGGTTAGATTTGTGTGACTTCATTCATGGATTCAATGAGCATTTCTTGACTATGTTCTGTGTTTCAGACTCTGTGCTGGTCTCTGAGGATAAAGCAGTGAATAAGTGATTGAGGTGACAGGCCTCAATCATCTTGAAACAGGATAGACAAACATGAAACAAATAATCATATATTTATTTTGTTTCAGATAATCCTACAAAGTGAAAGTTAAGGAGCCTGTGCAAGGGTATATTTGGGAAGTCTAAACAAGTCTAAGAGATGAGGCAAAGATTTCCAGAACTTGGGTTTAAACTGAAAACTGGTAGATGAAGAGGAAAAGCCAGGTGGAGGAAAAGCAGGAAAGAGCATCCCAGGATTTCAAGCTTTATCCCAAAGGCAATGGGAAGGCACTGATAAGTTTTAAGCAATACAGTGTCATGATCAGATTTAGTTTTAGAAACTGATTACTCTGGAAAATGATTGGAAGAGAGTGAGGGAAGTGACAGGAAGGCCAGTAAATGAGCTGCTACAGTTGTTGAGGTAAGAATGATGGTAGCTTGGACCAGAATAGTCAGCGTAGATTACTGGAAAAATATTAAGGATGTAGAAGTGGAAGGACACAGTTGATTGGATATGAAGTTGAGGCAGTGAGAGATGTCAAGAATAGTTCCCAGGTTGTTGACATGGGCAGTTGTGGCAATGGATCCCCATTTGTACTCGTAGAGCACTCTGGAGAAGGAGCAGGTTTGTGGGGTGTATTTTTGCTTTCAGTTTCAGACTTCTAAAAAAATGAACAAATTTTAAAGATTCTATTTAACTCATGAGAAAACAAGTAGCTGTTGAAACCAGCTCAAAAGAGAATCCAAAGAGCAGACATAGGAATATTGACTAGGGATATTGAAATGAATATATAATGGAAGTAAAACTGGTTTTATTACAGCGTGAGAGGTGGGACAATTGAACCTCTACTGTAAAAGACATTCAGCATGTATATCAGTGATGTACAATGTACAGAGGGATGTAAACAAGCTTATTATAGGCAATATAATACTAGAATCAGAGAACCTGGAGTAGTATCCTGAAGACAGGGCAATGTTTCCATTGAAACACATTTTTTTTTCCTAGAGTGTTGGAGTCAAGTAGACATTAGCTTTCTAAAAAAGAGGGTCCAGTCATTAGGGTGACCAGATTCCTATCAGAGACATTTCTAGCTCAGGCTTGGTCAGGGCTCAATGGATATTGATAACATCACAAAGACTAGGTTGTCACAAAGGCCACTCCCTGACCAATGAGGGGCTGGAGCACAGGGATACAGTGAATGAAAACAAACAAACAAACAAACAAACAAACAAAACCACTTGGTATCTTGAGAAGCTCAGGCCAGAAGGAAAATCAGTAAGGGATGATGGGGGAAAAACCCACCAAGACCATGTTAGGGTAAAAATGAGCTCTATGAAGAAGATCCTCTCCTGTTCCCTAAAATCCTAGGTGTAGTTCCCAGTTATCCACATGGACCTCCTCCTGTGAGACGTCACTATGCCCAGTGCCTGAGCTTGGCTACTCCCGTTTTCCTCACTGGAATTCTGGAGTACCTGACGGCCAACATCCTGGAGCTGGCAGGCAAGGAGGCCGACAACAACCGCAGGGTACGCATCACCCCCAAACACGTGGAGAGGGCAATGGACCAGAACCAGCAGCTCAGCCTCCTCTTTGAGGACGACACCCACTCTCAGGTTGATGAGATGCCCCAACTCAGGAAGAAGTAGAGATGCCTGGGTCTCAGAGCCCGGCAGGCCCTCATCAACAGCCCCATCCAGCCCCCAAAACTGCCATAGAAAGGGAGCTCAGGCTGCTACCATCAGCCCATGCTATTAAAGTGTTTAAATCTATGACAGTGCTCCTGACTCCTCTCAGTTTCTGTCACCTTGGGTAGGAGGTGTCTGTGAGATATCTCGGAGAAGCTATCCCATAGAGAGCTGAGAGGTGGAAGGCATGGTCAGTGGGGGGTATTTGACTTAGTGATTTCAAAGAAGGAGTTTCCAATGGTGATGGGTATGGACAGTGGCCCTGGTGGGAGCAGCTGGCTGAGGGAGAGGGGGGGGAGAAATCTTCATTGACTCTGAGCAGGGAAGGCCCTGGGAGGACAGGGAGTTGGCTGAAGCCCCCTAGGCCTGTTGAATTCCTAGCAGGAAGCTAGGAACTGTGGTGCATGTGGCTGAAGACCCTGACTGAGGTGCAGGTGGCTTTATTCATGGCCAGGAAGATCTAAAGTCAGAGGGCAATGATGGCAATGGGTGGGGGGATGGGGCACACTGGCTGGCATGAGCTTAATGGGGCAGGGTCTCTTACATGGGATTTGGGGAGTCATGGGACCAAAAGGAAAAATACAAAAAAAGGAATTATGTTTAGGTTTATATGGTATATTTATTTATACCCTGACTGATTCTAAAAGAGGACTTGAGACAGAGATAGGTAGCTGGTGCTATGGCACTTTGTGTGGAATATATCCTTCTGTTTTCTTGTGGGTACTGGTAAATTAAATAGTAATATTACATAAAAGCTACTGTTTGGCTTAACACATGCAATTCAGTCATTTCTTAATGGTTGCTAAATATTACTGAACTTATTTATGAGTGTATTCCATTATAAACATGATTATCAATCATTCTCAGATGAAACACAATCATTTTAATGATCATATATTTGATAAAAACAACTTGGCACTGTCAAGGGATGTATATGTGTCTGGAGAGCTAAAAGTATATGCTGTATACATTCTGTTCATAGTGATGGACTCAGAAGTACATGCAATCTTTATAAACATCCTTTTGTGCTATTTTTAGTTGGAAATAGGTGTCACTTCAAGTGTTGTAGCAATCTGTTCCTTTGCCTATGACTGCTCACATTTGAGGTTTTTATTGTTGATCAGGTTATCAAGGACCACCCTGTGCTTCCTGCTGACCTTTCACAAAGGGTTGGTCAGAAGCTGCCCAGCCAGCTGAAACAGCAGGATCAGAGGACTTGGGCTCAAGATTCCCAGTTCACTCCTTTCTGGCTGCTTGATCTTGGGCATTTATCTATTCTCTCTAAGTTGCAGTTTCCTGATGTGAAAAATGAGGGTAATAAGAGTACCTTCATCTTTGATTTTACCAAAGATTAAGTCTCTTGTGCCTGCACACTGCTGTTTCACACTGCACGTGGCACAGGGGAGCCCTTAATAAACAGCTGTATCTGTCTCCTTCCCTAGCACCAGGCGTGCAGGCATGCTTCCCCCCGGGTGCAGCTGGGCCTGGTTCTCAGGTGACTGGGGGACGCTTGGGCACTGGTTTTGACAACTCCAGCGTGCCAGACCCTGTGGAAAGACAGGAGAGGGCCGGGCAGAGGGATGGGCCAGATAGTCCCTACCCTGCTTTCTTCTCTGCTCCTCCTGTCTGCTGACTCGCCCTCACCCTGCCTGTGTCTAAGCAGAAGGACCTGGCTTGGCCATTGGCTAATCCACAGGAGTGTCCCGTGAGTGAAAGAAATAGTGTCGGGGTTGTGCTTAGAGCCCTTTGGAAGATGTGCTTGTCTAAACCCAAGAAGCCTTTCTTGCCATATCATGGTCACCGAACCTCATATTTCCAGACGCCTCTTTGTCAAGATGCCCACCCACAGATGCGTGGTCCCTAACAGAGAGCCATGAAGCCCTCCCAGCGTTAGCTGAGCTCATCTCTTCCTCTTCTGTGCATCTGAGTAGCCAGCAGGCCTCTCCTGGCAGCCATAGGTGAAGAGTCACCTTCAGCTGATCACATGATGGTGACAACATTGCCCCTCCCTCCCTCCCTGAAATGAAGCATCTTTGTGTCCAGGACATGGGTTGCTCATAGACCTGTGTCCTTCAGTGAAAAGTGAGTTCCTCTAGGATGGGTAATGCTAGAGAATTGGTCATTATATTCAGATCTTGATGTGTTCAATAAATGGCTGTCTGATGTTAAAAACTATTTTGATTTGCAACTCCAGCTGGTAGCACAAAACATAGACTCCTGGATATATTTTTTCATCCGATGAATTCATTCATGCCAGGAAGGCCCTAGTAGATGGGTTAACCATTCTGTGTGGAGAAGTGGTCACCTTACAGTCCATGTGCTACTCGACACTCATGGTCACTGTGACCCTGTAAAGAGCCAGGCTTCCTGGGCTCTTTCAGACTCTCTGTTTCATGTCTGAGGTGGAGTTTGGAATGTGAATGAGTGCATGGTGTCAAGCCCTCTGCAGCGCCATGGGGCAGAGAGGGTCACTACAGAGGCACTGCCATCCCTCTAAGAATCGTGCTCTGCTGTGCTTGTGGGTTTCATAGGGTTAATGGGGGCCAGGACCAGCAGAGCATCAGCCTGATCCAGCCCCTGCCAAATCCTCCTCCATAGGTGCAAGGAATCCCACACTCAGGGGAGGGAGAGAAGCAGAGAGGCAGAATTGCTGTCATGGTGCCGGGCGCGGTAGCTCATGCATGTAATCCTAGCACTCTGGGAGGCTGAGGTGGGCGGATTGCTCGAGGTCAGGAGTTCAAAACCAGCCTGAGCAAGAGTGAGACCCCATCTCTACTATAAATAGAAAGAAATTAATTGGCCAACTAATATTTATAGAAAAAAAATTAGCCGGAATGGTGGCGCATGCCTGTAGTCCCAGCTACTCGGGAGGCTGAGGCAGGAGGATCGCTTGAGCCCAGGAGTTTGAGGTTGCTGTGAGCTAGGCTGACGCCATGGCACTCACTCTAGCCTGGGCAACAAAGCGAGACTCTGTCTCAAAAAAAAAAAAAAAAGAATTGCTGTCATGGGAAGGCATGAGCCCACCCAAGTCTAGGCCTTTTGTGCATTTCTAGAAGGTGGAGGGCGTAGTGAGGAAGGATTGGAGGATTTCCTCTAGCATGGACCCCATGGATAGGGCACCATCGGTAGCTGTTCCTTGTGGGAGTGGGAAACCTAAAACCCCAGTGAGTAAAGACAGAGGCTGGGGAGGGTGTGGCTGCCAAGCAGGCCTGTGATCACAGGCAGTGTCAGAGCAGGCCAGGGTCAGACATGGGTCAACATGGCAGGAAACACCACCTGTGAGAAGAGATGAGCCCAAGAGCTGAGACTGTGGGGAGCTTGGAGTGTAAAGTTGCCTTGGTGTTGGCATGAACACAAGGCCTGGTTACCAGGCTGGCCTCCCACCAAGAGCATCCTTTGGGAACAGGGAAATTTTGAAGGCCCACGTCCCCTGGTCCCTGCATGTGACAGATCCTGCAGGATGTGGCCATAGTGAGATAGCCTGGCTTTTTAGAAAGGGCCTTTGTTATTCCCAAAATAGGATTCTAGAAAGAAGGATCATTTTACTAACCTCTAATAAATTATTTCCTGAAGTGCAATTTACAGAGTGGCAGTTTATGACAGAATCTGGATAGCAGATAGATTTGCTACACAGACATCTTAAAAGAAAGTTAAAAAGCTGCCAAAATTTAAAAATCAAGAACTTTTTACCTGAAATTTTTGATTTCTGGCTTCCCTTCGGAAAACAAAATGGCTGTACACATCATTACAGTCAAATAGAAATGACTAGCTGCTGCTCCATTAAGACTGGGCCTCTGGTTTACCACAGTCCTTGCTCCTCCATATTAAGTCTCATATCTAAACCACTTCACTGATTTGTAGTAACTGACCACAATAAATACTTTGTTACTCCAACCACAAGTTAATTCTAGGTCTATAATATTCAGAAGGATCTATTTTATGTAATGAAGTAGTATAGTGCAGTACTTCTCAACCTATCTTTATTGTAGGGCCAATATCAGCAAAATTTCTTATTTTTCTCTGTGACCTGGTATGTGGTTGCATTAGTAGTATCAGCTCATATTTGATTTGTTACTCAAGTTTAACACCTGGACTGGTATGTACCCTGTTCAACAGGTTGTTCAACCTTGTTCAACAAGGGAGACCACTCATTTAAATGTTGTGGCAAAACCAGATTGCTGTAAAGTTTCCTAAATTCCAGTTCTCAGTTTGTATACCTGTTGTAGCTGACCAGTAACCAACAGTTCATTGACCTGTACCAGTCCACAAACCACGGTTTGAATAGATCGAGATAATGAATTTGTTTTATTTTATTCTTTTATGAGTATTATTTTAAATCTAATGAAAGGTAGTAAACAGGACCTGCATTTGGTATTGTTTCTCCTTTAGCATTTCCATGAAAACTGAAGATTTTTTCCTTCTTATATTTAGGACTTTAAAATAACACTGATGAAAATGTCACTAAACTAATTCTGTTACAGTAAAATTTACTAAGAAAACCAACTGGCAACAGGGGAGTATTTTAGCTACTATAGTTGTGAGATTTTTGACTTCTGAAATATAGGATGAAAAGAATTCACCAACTCAACTTTGAATGAGAATCTTCATGATAAGAAGTGGCAAAATAATGAAAGAAGAAGGAGAACCAGGATATGGTCTCCTACAGGGTAGTCTACTTGGGGGCTTATCACCTTCCATGGATGTAAAATGAGTAGGTTGGGCCAAATCATTTCAGAGGTCACCTTAAGGTGTACAATTACCAGACTATGATCTTTTTCTTTAAAAAGATCTCTATTAGAAGTAGATAAGTGGGACAGAGAGGACAGGGATTTGGGGGGAGGGTCTTCATTATACAGCTGATGCCACCAATGCCCACTAATGGTATCTGCTCTCCCAATGTCACATGATGAGTGGGCAGCACAGTGGAATGATAGTCTGGCCCTCTTAACCTGTTGGTGAGACTCTTTCCTCTATCCTGAAAAAGGGGCTCAAGATAGAGAGTGTTGAATATTCTCCTCTGGGAAAATGAAGATCAAGTCTTCAATATTGAGAAATTAGGGTGTTTTGGATTTCTAGGAAAGCACTCAACAAC